TCCTTTTGCTTTTTTATAGAGCTCATAGAAATAAAGTTGGTGGTCAAGTATGTACGTGAGTAGTAGTCTGCACAAGCCCATTCAGAGGTTACATCGATTCTTCTGCAGTTCTGAGATGTGTTTCATTCAGAGTTGCTTTAAAGCCACATTTCTGTCCTTAAACTGAAATGGATTAGTCCTTGTTTAGAAGCAGTATAACAAGTGTGTTGTCCTGTTTCATACCTGATTTAGGCTCAGCTTAGACCTAGTGTAACACTATACTAAACAAACAGAAACACTGTAAAGTAGTACTTACCTCATCTATCTGTAAATTTGACACACTCAAACGGTAGAAAGTGATGGCATGTGAATTTAAAGGTTTTATATTACACAAAATGGATTCTTGTGAGCTTTAAATCATTTTATAATGTTGCAACCTCATCAAATACATACCCAGAGTTGTGTTTTGTTTCATTCGCACATGTGAGTAGTCATGCATTATTTAGTCTGTCTACATCTCCAAAGCTCAAAATCTTCCACCTTGTGATGTCATGTGGTCATAGTTTTTGGCTTCCTTTTACCTTTACCTCTGTAGAGACTGGCAGTTCCAGGTCTGAAAGTGCAGTTTAAAAACAGTGGAGCACTTCCTGTATTACCACATGACCTCACAAGGGGAAACGCAGTGTGTTAAACATGTGTAACTGAAACAAAACACAAGTCCAGGTATGTTTGTGATGAGGAAACCAAACATTACAATACAGATCAGAACAGAGCCTAATAGGAGCCCTTCATGGACAGTTTGACCCATAAGTGTGGAACTGACCCCCTCTAGTGGTTAAACAGCTGCAGTGCACTTTGACCGAGCGTTACATTCATCCAAAAGTTCAAACCAAACACCTTGGGGGCATCTCATTTTTCTTTCCTTGCTTCTTTACTTCTTACTTCTTTTTCCTTTACTTCTCAGTGGGTTTTAACGGTCCGTGCAGCTCTCATAGAGTCTCTGGTTGAACGAGTTTGGCTTCGCGGTGCGCGCTTCTGTGCGTCTGCTGCATTGGCCCGTTTTGTTTCTGTCATTAATTGAGTAGCATCTTTCTCCGGGAATATGAGGCCAGCATTTTGTGGCTCATCCACCTAATCCCAGTCCCCCTCTTCCCTGCTCAGTGCCTGCGCCCGCGGTAGAGAGAAAATGGGAATGAGTGCTCAGAGAAGGAGGGGGGAAGAGGAGTGATGTAAAGTTAGTGCAGGTCTGTAAGCACACAATATAATCAGTTTGTGAATATAACGCATAACAATCAAAAAGAAGATTGAATAAATATATTAAATAAATACACTACTACTACTACTTTTACTACTACTACTGCTGCTGCTGCTGTTATAATAACTTCCTAACTGCCTGGCAAATTCAGAATAAAATATCAGCTTTTTTTTTTTTTTTTTTTAATCATTGGAGTATTGAAGAAGTGCGTATTCTAGATCCTAGGCAGAACTTCAAAAAAGAAAAGAAAAGTACTTTGCATTTACAATTTCACTTATGACTTACTGTATATATGAGACAAAAAATGAATTCAAATTAAAGCCGCGCGCGGCGATGGTGGCCCTCGCTCCGGCGCACACCGCCTCCCCCACGCGACCGCCCCGGCACGCCACTCTCTCTTCCCGACATCCTCCCAGGCCGACAGCTCGTCCACCAGAAAAATTACATAGTGTACCTTTAATACTGACTAATGTGATTGTTTCTAGAGACAAACTACAGAAACTAGGCCACAGGTCACGTGACTTTTATGGTCAAGAGCACTGTCACGCTAAGACTGTGCATAACAACACACCTTCCATCAGAAAAGTTACATGGTGTACCTTTAAAATTGGATAATGTGAACGATTCTAGAGGCAAAAGTGTAAATACTAGGGCATAGGTCTCAATGACTTTTATGATCAGGAGCACGTCAGGGAATGTTCTGCAAAGTTTCACGAATGAACGTGAAATTAATTTTATTTCTCCTCATAGTAAATTTTGTGCATTCCTATAGATGGCGCTGTATCCCTGATAACTGTATTTGACATATCAATGGACTCAGGGTCATGCAGTGTTTAACTTATAGAAATTTCAGCTCCAAACATGTGCGTATAATCATTTTTACAACATTTTTGGAGGGAGTCTTTGCGCCCCTGCTGGCCAACCGTGAAAAATGCCCCATGTCCGTAATAGACTTTTTTGCTTGTAATCATGCATAGAGTTAAATTCCTGAATTTGTTCCAAATCCGATATTGTTGATGTTTCATGTCTATGGTAGGGGGCGCTATAGAGTTCACCTTTCATATATTTTATAGTGTATTATAATCAGGCTAAGATCATGCATTACTGATTCAAATTTCAGCACGATCGGACTAATAGTGGAGCTGTTAAGGACCAAAAAGGTGCCCAATTGTTCATTTTTATGCTACAAGCATGAAACTTTGCCAGATTATTAACATCAGTTCTGGATATGGAACCAAGCATTAGTCGACCCTGGAGCCGAATACCATGCATGCCACAAAATAGCTGACATGTAAATGAGGCTGGGAGGTAAATTACTGCTTAAACTGTCTTTTTTGGAAAATAATGTTAAATAATCATATAGATTATAAAGAAGAATATGTATTCTCAAGATACTAGCTACTGCAAAGCGGTTTCAATGCTGTTTTAAAAATGAAAGTAAAAATTAAATCACAAAAAAATATTTGCAACTAAACTAATGGTGTGTTTTTTTAAAGGTGCATTGTGTAACTTTTCTGGTCTCCATGGAGATGTTATTGCTTCATCTGGAATGTTTCACAGTATGGTATTAAACATTTCTATCTCCATGGAGACTAAACCAGACCATGTTCCAGGTCAGATCTGTGGAGAGGCGACCCCGCTCACAGTCACAACGCCTGTTTTTCTAGGTATTTTTGAGCTATAAAACCACCTGTGATTGAATAAGTGTAAAGTAGAGCTGTTTAATGTTATACTGTGGAACATTCCAGGCAGAGCAATGACATCTCCATAGAAACAACAGGTGGCGGACCCCACCTATTACACAGTGCATCTTTAATAATGTTATTTACTGTTTCTAGTGCTTGTTTGGTAATTTTAGAGCTAAATAGAAATGCAAAATAATCTGGTCATAAATATGTAAAAATTAGTGTGTGAACTCCAAGTGGCCCTTGTGGTATCAAGTACTATGTGACATCAGGCAGGACTACCCTGATTACAGCCAGGTGTTTCTTTTACAAATCCCTGGCTATGGGGGGGAGTTTATAGTGTGGATACCTGTTAGACCAGTCACACTGTTCTTCATATCCCCTAGCCCCGCCCCTCTCTCCTTTCACTCTCTTCTTTAGTCCTCCAGGTACCACTCAGTTTATCAGCTCTATTTGAAATGTGTTTGTGGGTGGAGTTTAGGTGTTTAGTCCCACTTTAAGGCGGTAGGTTTAATTTTCTATCTTCATTTCTCTCTCCTCTTCTTTCTTTATCCGGTACAGTCACTGGTTAAATCAGCTCTTCAGTCTTCCTTTTAGTTTCTTGGTTGAAATGGTGAAAAGACAACTGAAAATCTGAGAGTAAAAGTACAGTTACACAGCAAAACATCTACTCAATTACAAGTACTACGGCGAAACTTGAGTAAAAGTATAAAATATGCATATAAAAACTACTAAACATGAATTCTTATTATGAGTGGTGTCACCTCTCCATATATCTGACCTGTAAACATGGCCTGGTTGCGCCACTGGCTTGTCTCCAAGGAGATAGGCAAGTTTAATGCCATAGTGAGAAACAATATACTGTAACATTGCCATTATCGCTCTCAGCAGAAAAGTTACATAGCACATCTTTAATACTACTAACAAATTTATGCCTAAAAAATCTTTATGCATTAATATTTAAATTGCCAGTGTGTAAATGACCTTGCATTTGATTATCCTTACCATAAAAAATTAATGTTAGCTAAGAAACATTTGCTATTACATTGTCTTTTAAGGGTTATGGTGATGGATTTAAATCTGGCGTGTGCCACAAATAAACCACAACAATCACCAAGTGTGGCTATAAGTGGCCATACCAGCTTGTAAAAGTCTGATCTCGTCAGATCTCAGAAGCTAAGCAAGACTGGGGATAGTTAGTACTTGGATGGGAGACCACTGGGAAAATCAGGTGTCACAGTGGGGCACCAGTTGTGTCCTTAGGCAAGGCACTTCACCCACATTGCCAAGTATGAAAGTGGTATGTGCGTAAGTGATGATGGTGGTCGGAGGGACCGATGGCCCAGATTGGCTGGCAGCTGCACTTCCACCAGTCTGCCTCAAGGCAGCTCTGGCCACAATAGTAGTTTACCATCACTGGGTATGGAGTGAATGAAAAAAGCTCTGTCAAGCATCTTTGTGACATGTGTCTGTGAAAAGCCCTATATAAATTAAATCTTACTTACTTACCAAATGAATTTACCCCCACAAAACACATCACAGTATCATAATAACAATAATGACAACAGCAGAGGAAGACTTCTCATTCCAGTGATCCCACACCAGACTGAGAACACCTTTGAAACTGTGAGATATGGATTGTAATAAAGCTATAAACCGATTATTACATCACAACAAACAAAATGTAATGCATAATTCATTCCAGAGCTCTATAGCTTTCAAAACATAACGCTTTATATTGTTTTTAAAGGCTTCTACAGTGTTAGACTTTATTTATTTATTTATTTTTAAATCCGCACTCAGATATTGTTCCATACACTAACCCCTCGAACAGAAACGCAATCACTTTTTTCTTAGTTATTAGATCTTCTTCTTCTTCATCTTCTTTTTTTTTTTTTTTTTTTTTTTTAAGGTGACTTTTTTTTCGTTTATGGTCGTACAAGCTAAAACTAATGTTAACTTAAATTATGTTTAAAAATATACAGTACAATTTATTAAAACAATACAATTTACTAAAACTTTTTTTTCTTAGTTTACTTTACTTTTATTGTAACATCCTCCACTTCCGGTGCAGCTGTAACCACGATGTGCGCATGCGTCAACTCACCGGCGTACACAATGGACCCGGAGCTTCGCGTTTTTGTCTTCCAGATGTGATCACTTTGAAAATAACCGAGGGCAGATGTTATAGGAACCCGTAGCCATGCGCTGGAGCTGACAGCAACCATAAAGCGACTTTCTCTGCGTAAAAAACAGCCCAAAAGTGTGTCCGTGTGTGCTCCGAGATGCCCTTTACTCCGCCGTGTTATGTCACTACGGTCTTGGGTTGATGCCATTGTCCGCCAACACTGAACACAAGTGTCCGCTAGGTAAGTGGGAGAAAAGCATTGTTTTTTTGGCTTGGATTCACTAATGTGCAATACAAAATTGTGTGCAAATGTTAAAATACGTGAAATACGTGTCATGATTTTTGCTGGAATGTTTACTATATATAGATAGACATAATTAGGCTCTATCCTTAGATTAAGCACTGGTTCATTGTGTGTTTGTAATGGATGAGTTGTTGTAAATATAATGTTAATGTATGAAACACAGGGGCAGTATATGGAACTTTTCTGGTGGTCTGCAGCTCATCTCTATGAAATTATTATTGCTTTGCCTGGAATGTTCCACAGTGTGCCTTTAAACGTCTGTATCTCCAGGGAGACAAGCGGGGGATGTCAGGTAAGATCTGTGAAAAGAAGATTGCGCTTACTGTAAGAATGCCTGCTTTTCAAGGGATTTTTAAGAAATAAAAACAGATTAGAATAAAAGCATGATGGGAAACTTGACGCCTTACTGTGGAACATTCCAGGCAAGGCAACAACAGATCCATGGGAGCAAGCAAGTTGCACCCCCTTAGCCAGATAAATGACACAGGGCTCCTTTAATATTATTGTAGACTTAAATAAACACACGGACACTTTGTTCATAAGTTGACTTTTTCCTTATCATTTTTACATCATGAAAACTGCAAATTTAAGCATTATTTTCAGTTTTACTCCACAGAGACAGGCCTGTCCCAATAAATACTGTACTATATGGACTTATCGTTCAGTATATATGCAGAGGTGCACAAGTAAAAGTACTGTAACGATGCAAAAGATACTCAAGTTAAAGTAACACACGAAAAAATCTACTGAAGTAAAAGTATTAAAGTGCCTATTTAAAAATGTAAGAGTAAAAAGTAAAAGTATTTCACATGTATTTTGAGGACTTATAAGGCTTCAAATGTAGTGATTTTGATAAAGATTTGTGCTGAATTTTGTTCATTAGAAACAATTGAATTAAATGTTTTTCTAGCTGTTTATATTTCTGTATTTTTGTTTGCTCAAACTACAAGCATCTTCAGCATAAACCCCTTTTCAGCAGGTCTCAAATCATAAAAAATAAAACTAAAAAGTACAAGTACATTAAGTACATTACTTCACTTCATTATATACACCACTGAATATATGTTCAGTGGTCCCCAATGATGTTTGGGGGTCAGTATTTATCATGGGTACTTTTTCTTTGTACTATGAGGAACTTTTTTGTGTTTTTCTGCAGCTGTAGAGGGATGAATAAATAACTTTTACGACTCATTATTGATTATCACTGACTACTGAAGTGTTTCATTCTGCTGTTTATTTATTCACCAGAACAGTTTAATTTAAGTTCAGAGATAATATTTAAAGGTTCTATATTACGTGAAATTGAGTCATGAGCTTGTAGCCTTGGTATAATGTTGTTAGCTCCTCAAAAACAGACCTGGAGTTGTGTTTTTTTTTCATTCACACATGTTTGAATAATCCTTTTTTAATAGTCTGTCTACATCTCCAAACCTCAAAACACTGTTCCACCTTATGATGTCATGTACCGGTAGTAGTAGTTTTAACATTGTGTTTTGTTGAGATTGACAGAGCTGAAATTATTAACACTACAGATACCATCATTGTCACATTTTGCAGAAATACAAATTAATGACCTGGGACAATCTTATTAAATTTAAAAATATCTGTCTAATGTACAAGATTAAACATGGCTCGGCTCCCTCTTCGCTGAATGACTTTGTTAATTTCAGATCTAGTGAGGGCAGAGTGACCAGAGGAGCAGTGAGGGAAGACTGCATTATTCCTCATAGAAAAACTTTATTTGGTCAGTGTGTTTTCTCCGTCAGAGCGTCACATCAGTGGAACTCTGTGCCTGAAGCCATCAGAACATCTCCCTCATTCTCTGCTTTTAAAAAGAATGGTGAAAAGTGACTTTTAGAAACGCAAATGTGTGAACACTAAAACGTTTATTGTATTTTTGTAATCTTATTGTACATTTGTGTAATTTTTGATGTGTAACTTTTTTTTTTTTTAAACATATTTTATTAAGTTTTCAACATTTTAAAACAACACACAAAACAAAGAGCAGTCTGAGCATGTGTTTGAGTTTTTCTCATTACATACATATTACCCAATTAAGCAAGACACACCGACCCAGTCAAACAGGCAAACCAACCGCCCGCCACAACACTGAGCCTGTACCTCTCTGTATAATGATACTGAGCTCACCGGGCGAGTAATCAAGCAGAGGCAGCCACAACTCCACAAAGAAATCATCATTACCTTTCAATTTTGCGCTGACTCTTTCCATGGGTAAGACTCTAAAAATGTCTTTATACCGCTGGGTGACAGTTGGTGGCTTCTCTTGAATCCAGTTAAACAGCACACACTTACGTGCCAGAAATAGTAATTTAACCACTAATTTTAATTTACTTTTGTCTGATACTTTGTTTAAAGGTGGCAGCCCCAGCAAAAAACAACCCGGATCTTTCACTAGTTTTAATTTCACTATGTTGCTTATTTCTTTAGTTATACATTGCCTGAATTTGGAGATTTTTGGGCAAGTCTTCTGTGCTGCCTATGTAAAATTTTAAATTGGGTTATTTGTTGTTCAGGAATAGTGAATGAGTCGACCGGATACTGTCCTTCCAACTATGTTCCTCATAGTGGATGTGTAACTTTTAAATGCCTTTTTGACATCTGGCAAAGGGACTACCGATGCAAATTAGCTCTTATCAGCTAACTCTGGCACATTTACATTGTTTTGATGTTGATTAATGTGCATTGTCCCTTTTCAAATAAATAAATAAATTAATAATAAATTATCCAAATGGTCCTAGTGAAAGTGAATGGAGTTTAAAAACACACTGGAGACTCCATGTATTACCATCAGACATCATAAGGTGGAACAGAGTGTTTTCTGTTTGAGAGAAAACTCAGCCTAAATGTGTAAGGTTTGTCTGAATGAAACAAAACACAAGTCCAGGTCTGTTTATGATGAGGAAAAATTATACCATAGATCAGAAAATAGAGTAATATGGAATTTTTAACTAGTGACCAGCATTTTTGTACATCACATCAGTAATATAACGCAAATGAAAATAAAAAACATGCTTTTCTCATTAAATAAATAACAATATAACTGTAAATAATAATACAATAATGATACTCATATTTGTTACCTAAGTTCTTAAGTTGAACTTTACAAAGTCATACCGCGTCATGCACCATAGATTTTACCTCGCATTTCAATCTCCCTGCTTATCCTTGTCCTTAAAGTCTCTCTGCGTCACATACTAGATTGTTGTTTTTGTTTCTCTGCCGGTATAATTAACAAAAGCCATTAAAATCCTTAACGACCGGATACTAGAGGCTTCAGTCATTTCCCACCATTACGAGGCGGTTGTATCTGTGATAAGAAGAGATAGCGCGGTACAGTAGCGTGTTGAGCAGGGGCGGGGAAGGTTCAACAACAATGAAGCTAGAGCAGAAGTTAGAATGGCTTTTAAGGACAGGCTGAGAGCAAAATGACTGGCGATTTTATGATATTTGTATCTTTAATTCTTAGACAAAGGAGCAACGGAGAATGGCAGAGGTGAGCCTTAGCAAGAGGAAGGAGAAGTGTGAAAACTGCACCAAACAGGTACTTTTTTGTATGTTGTAAACATAAGATTTGAAATTTTGACTATTTAGTTGATATTTTGTGGTGTTTTTGACAGTGCAACAAGAGGCAGACAGAGGATGGGGACAGCTCACACCAAAATCACACAACAGCAGTTGAGCAGGTACGTTACTGTTTGGATTTGAATGTTTTTGTCCAGTATGTTGCACTCTAAATACAGCATACACAGGAGTGGAAATTAACTAATTACAAATACAAACATTAGTGTAACTGAGTGCATTTTTGGGGTAATTATACTTTTTAAAACCTGTACATGCACTAAATTTGTCTTAGTTACATTTAAAATCATATGAGTACTAAGTCACTACTGTCTTATTAGCCAAGGCTCAGAGAACATTAGAGAGAGCACATTATGGTTAAAAATGACTAAATTCTACTGTTCAATTAATATAAAACAGATGATTACTAGTGCTAATATTTTTCATGTGTACGTTTTACTTTTACTTATTTAGTACTTGTACTTTCCAACACTGAGTATACTCTTCCAGTCAAAAGTTTGGACACACTTATTCATTAAATTTTCTTTCTTTATTTCTATAATTATTTATACTGTAGATTCTCACTGAAGGCATCAAAACTGTGAATGACACATATGGAATGTAGTAAATAAAAAATAAACTCAACATAACTCCAAACTTGTTTTGGACCAAAAAAAAAAAAAAAAAAAAAGCCACCCTTTGCTTTGTACCATGGTTTGCACTCTTGGCATTTCTTGACCCTGGTAAGATATTTTACTTTTATCTGATGTCTCCTTTTTGTATCTAAAATGTAGACTACAGTACACGTAAAAATCACTGAATGAGAATTTGTGTCCAAACTTTTGACTGGTGGTGTATGTATTGTATTTTTCATGGGATTTAATTTTCAATTAAAGTAGCAACAAACAGAACAGAAACGAAAGCCTCAGACACCATCTGTCTCCCATTTACAACTCCATCCTCAAACTTAAATCAAAACAAAGAAAACTATAGAGTGATGTTTAAGTTCAGAGGTGTGAAAACACCCATCATTAATTATGCTAATATGACTCCGTACTTAGTGCAGTTCAATAGACCTAGCCAACAGAAACTGTAAACCAGTAGGTGTGTTACCCGGAATTCACACCCGGAGCGTCAGTGACACGTAACCTAGGCAAAGCTGCATAAGTGAGTACTTTTAAAAGCTTCAGTTTACACCAGAGGTAACAGAGCTGCTTATCTGACACCAGCTTCTGTGAATTCTCATGTTTAAACACCAGCCTCTGTGTATTCTCACATTTAAACACTAAACTTTTTACATTGTTTATGTATTCATTGTTGATTGGATGAATTCTGTTTTAAATCATAATACAGAAGTTGACAACAAGAGAGACGATGTTTTGCAGCGATCATGAGTTGTATCTGCTGTGCTGCATGAATGAACCTACTCACCCTTTTACTCTGGTCGTCTGCACCACGCACCTTTTTGTTCAGAAGTTGTTCTTGTAAAGTTAACGTCTGATGTCGTAAAGTGTTTTATATTTATCCTCCATGGCTGTAAACTTTCCATAGTCCATCAGGAGTCATTCCCCGAGCTCCTGATGCTCCTGAAAGGGCATCTGAAGTTTATATTGACACCATATTTGTTTGCTGTCTTGCCCCTGCTAAAAAGCCTGGAGATGCTCTGTTGACACTGAAAAATTAGACCTCCAACCTAATTTGAGTGGTGTGTAGCGTAATGAGGGCTGTTGGATGTGTGTATGACACTGCTGATGTAAATTCCCCAACCGTTTAAAATTGAAAGCCAATCCTGCTCATATGTTCTGCTGCGGTGCTTACGCACTGTTACTGCTTTGTTGTAAATTGGGTGTTAGTTTCAGAGTAGTAACAATAACCGAAATACCGTGATATTGTATCGTCAAAAATCTCTCAGTAATATCGTGGACCATCACAATATATCGATCTCAAGTCTTTCCTTAATTTCATTGTTATGGTGCAGCAACAGGTAAAAGAAACAAAGGATCATAGACCATGATCCTTTGCTCTGTTTCAGTTGAATAAAGCACTTTTAAGTCTTAACTCTTTAGTTTATGACAGAACCAAAGTCTTGTCAAGGTATTTTTAAAGGAAAAAGTAAAATATTCCAAATTTTGTTAGCCTCTACAAAATATTGCAATAAACATCCTACTGTGAGGTGCATATGGTGAAAATATCTTACAGAGAAATTTGGATATTGTTATATCCATATTGATCACAGTACTTTGTTGTGTGCAGGTGGGAGGGGCTGGTCAGCTGCTGCTCAGTGCCTGTCTATCCTGTGATGGGTGTCTGTCTGAGGAGGAGACGCTCCTGATCTCACAGCAGAGCCTGAAGGAGCTGCACACCGTCTTAGCTCTCAATAAGGTATCGTATGGGACTTATTCTTATGACAGAGTACAGATTATGTAGACTACTTTGTCAACAAATTATACTTTCATAATAAACTGTACTTTGAAGAGTAGATTTGAGACATTTTACGTAAAGGTGTATTGTGTAACTTTGGAAACACTTCATCCACTGGAAGGTCCTTCAAATGTGCTTTCTTCAAAGAGATGTTATCACTTTGAAATGTTTCACAGGGCTGTATTAAACCTTTCTATCTTCATGGAGACCAAACCAGAATTACAGGTCAGATCTGTGCAGAGGCGACCTCACTTGCAGCCAGAATATTGTTTTTGTAGATATTTTTGAGCTATAAAACCTGTAATTGAATAAACATAAGGTAGAGTTGTTTAATGTCATACAGTGGAACATTTGTGGTTCTTGTAATAAGAAATGATTTAAAGAGCCATTAAACACCCTCCCAAAGCTTTACTCCGCCCCTAAGCAAAATCTGAAAAATCCTCCAAAGTGGGTGGTGCCTGGTGAGTTGGTGGGGAGCAGGTGTGTGAGTGATGATTGACAGCCGACATTCAAACATGCGCGAACCGGTGTGCTCCAGACTGTGAAACAGAGAGGACATCTGTGCTCGGATCACGCCACTTCCTTTTTCTCCAGACACGGCGGGACATCGCAGTGACCATTGGTGCCAGGTGGTTGCATGGATGAAAGGGGCTCCTCAAACACCTCCCATAGACACCAGTGACTGTGGTTGTCACGTAATAACCTGCATCTGACTCATTGGCGGCCGTTAGTCCAACTCGAAAATTCAAATGCTGTGGCCGTAGTTGATCCTAAAGAGGCCGTTGCAGACACAGCTTTGACCCAAAAGTCCTTTTTTTTTAACAAATATGCACTAAAATGCCAAAATAAGGCCAGGGGTAGAGATTCACTCCTATTTTAGATCCGTTTTGACAGCTAATCAGTAGGAAAAAAAAGTGATTTTGGTGTTTAGTGGCCCCTTAATTATTCAAAAATTTAAGTTAAATGCAAATTGATTATTATATCTAATCTAATATCTAATTGGTCTTAACTATAAATCATACTTTTTGCCCAAATAGTTATTTAATGCACAAGACCCTTTTTACAAGTACTTGTTTAATTACTTGGGTCACGGTCAAGTTATTTTTAGATTCTCCACCTAGGGCTGAGCGATATGGAGCAAAATATATATCTTGATATATTTTGCTATACCTCAATGTACGATATATATCTTGATATGTGTACTGGAAATATAACCCCTCAAAAACTCTTGCAAAAGCAAATATGCCAAATTCCACAAGGTCTTTTTTTATTGAAGTGCAAGAGGTAGGCAGTTCATGTAGGAACAAAGTGCTTCTGCCACATTTAAGATTAGGAAAAATCCTTGATTACATAAATAATAATTTAACTGTAAAATAAAATAAATAATACACGTTGCCTTCTTTTCATTCATAAATAAAACAGCTCAACTCAAACTCATCTTTGTATTAACTCTATAATCGTACAATAACCTTGAGCTCCTTTAGCAGAAGAAGCTCAGGAGGTTCCTTATTTTAACAAATCCATGTTCCTCACCAGCGTAAGGAGCTATGAGGTTTCCCACAATCCACTGCAGATCAAACCCAATGTTTCCAAACACTATTGTACAAGTTACACTGCAGCAGATTATTCATTAATCTTCTGCATAAATAAACTTTACATTACTAAACTTTACAACATTTAAAGTATAACGACTTCTAGAGTCACATCAGTCCATTTGAGATTATGTGTTTAATGCAGTTTTGACACATTTGTTTACATTTTACAGGAATGAAACCGCATGGCTAATTTGCATAAACAGCTCTTTCCTCATGTCACTGATGTGGTTCAGCTTCTTTCGGATTAAAGGTCACGACTCAGTGGAATATGAGTGTTCTCTCTGTGACAGAGGATGTGCTGCTGATGGTTTTGTCTGTAAATAGAGGAAAAGGTTTGTGGTGCTAGAAGCTTTTCACTGGCATCAACTTTCAGTATTCATGGCGATAGTTACGAGTGAATGAGACTCAAACAGCAAAATCAAGGAGGCGGGAGCGACCACAGAGAAGGCAAACAAGCGAAGCAGTGAAACCATAATTAAATATAAGCATTATATCGATATATATACTATATGTCAGAATCCATATTGAGTAAAAAAAATATCACCCACCCCTGTTGTATGGTCTAAATACATTCACAAGAGCTGAGCATCTGGGTTCGATGTCTTGTGTGTGTCTACCAGCTGTAGATTTTTTTAATTATGAGAAAAATGGAACATTCCAGTTTCTTGCATTATTTTCAGTATTTTCTCAATACTGGAATTTTTGTATCTTGTTTCTGCCAATGTTAAATCATAAATTTTTTGAGGTTATTCAATACTCTTCGAAACAAATATTTTTAACTATTACTTTTTTAATCATGTGAAAAACTTTTTACTTCCACTTCAATAATACTTTTGTATAATCCAACATTCTTGGTATAGTCTAAAGCTAAAAATGAAAATTGAAATGAAAATGCTTGTATCATTCAGAACAGAATATATAACTTTGACTTGCTTCGATTGTTGCTTCTGCACACATCTGTTCTGCTTCTCTTTTTTACTTACAAGCTGCACGTTTGTCTAAATGGAGTATGCATCTCTCTGATTGGTTAATCCACCTGTCAATCATGCCTATCTGAAATCAGAAACGCAGGATACTGTTCCAGATTCACACATCTTTGTAAAGTTTTGCCAAAGTGTGTATTTTTCTCTGTATTGTGCTGTACCATTCATTAAAGGGCTAATCTTTCACTATTTTCTGACCTATGTGATAATGTTTCCTCATGGAGTTGTGTTTTGTTTCATTAACACATGTTTAACACACAAATCCTGCATATTTAGGCATATTTTAGTCATGTGGTAATGTGGAAAGTACATTTTCACTAGAATTATTTGAATGATTTCAGCTCTAAAATTGCCAAACTCTACTGAATAAAAGGTAAAAGGAGCTGTTCATTTCAAAAAGATAGGAACGGAGCATTTGGAGCTTTAGAAACAGATAGACTAATAAAGGATTACTCAAAATTACTAAAAAATATCTAAATATGAGGCAAAACTGCCCCTGGAAAACCATTACATTTAAAAAGGGTAAAATTGTATTGTGTCTTGCTCTGTTTCAGAAATGTGACGTCTCCAAACATAAGGTCCTGGTGGCCTCGGTCTGTCCACAGTCTCTGCCCTTCTTTGCTGTCAGATTTGGACTGGACATCAGCGAGGCGACACAAAAACTCTGCGGGTTCTTAAAAAGTTTAGGTGAGAGATTGTCTTTTTTTAGCAGTTGGAGAAAAACACAGGGCTCAGTGTACATCTGTGTGATATGGCAAGGTAATTGTGTTTTTCCTCAAATTTCGATTTAATGTTATTTTTTGTTTCTCTCATAAAAAACTGTTTAAATAGCTGAGATTAAGAGTTTAGTCAGCGAAATGTATTCTTCTGAAACCTGAACTCTGCCTCATACATTTGCTGATAGAGGATTGGCTTTAGTTAAAAAAAACAAAACAAAAAAAAACTAAAGATTGACCATTGGAAAGTTGGATCTTGAAGAATTGCACCGTCTTAGCTTGGTAAAATCCACTCATCCTTACGCATTTTAACCAGAAGAGATGGCTGTAGCTGAAATAACAGGAGGGAGGGGAGAGGGAGTGTGTTTGTTTTAGAAATGGGTGATATATCAGTATTTTTTCCGATGCCCCAGTCTGTGTCCATGTGTCAGACTGTCTGTGCATCAGATTTGTCTTTTTGAACAAACTCATGAGGAACAATGGAAATGGAAGAGCTATATGTGACTGTATGTGACACTAACATGTAACTGTTTTAAATCCCAGATAAATACATTTTGTTATTACTTTTACAAAAGTGTAAAGTTAATTTGTGATCTTTACTTAGACTTAAGGCTGCCACACTTTGCGCAATTTTGACTTTGATTTCTTCTCCCCGAGTTTGGGGAGATGTGGCCCGACTTTATTAGTCTGATTCTTCATCGGTTTTACTTTGTGGAAACCGTCTGACCTCACAGTGTTAGAATTTGTTCGCTTGACAGTAGGTGGGCACTTTTTTAATTTAATCAGTCGCTGCTATTTGGTCGTGACGTATGTAATGCTCCACGAACGGGGCTAACTGATATATTAAGCTTTTCCCAAATCCCGTAGGAAGAAAGGCAATAACGTCTTTCCCCTTGATAAAATTCACCAAACATTCTTTCTGTTACAGCTTTAAATCCTCAATCCTGGGAATCGTTGCCAAAAACAGAATATATGGCTCTTTGCTGATTGGCTGTTTCCTGGACTCACACTTCTGGGGTTTTTTGTGAACTGTCTAGTGTATTTGATTCCTGTCCTAGTCGCTGGAGAGAAATGAAATTGAGTAGAGGCACTAGGTGGCGCCAGCCTGGCTACGACTTTGTGTCTTTGTGTGCGATTCTGAACCCGCTGTGCTCCTTGTGTGTATTTGTGTGTATTTGGGTGGGTGGGTGTGTGTGTGGGTGTGTGTGTGTGTGGTGTCAGTGTGACTCTGAGCTGTCAGATCATAACTACCAAATATCAGCAACACTACAGCAACAGCCAATAAAACAGAGCGTTAGGGGCAGAGGAGTGATGGACGCAAGAAACAAACTCAGGAAATAGCAAAAATAATTATTACTCAGCTCTCGTAAAGTTGTAAATATAAACTGCCGCATCTCATCCACATTATCCATAGAATTTGTCCTCTGCCAATAATAACACCCAGTCCGCAAAACAAGTGCTGTGAAGATTCTCCTCGTGTCTGTGGTGTGCGCTTTTTGTTGTACGTTTAAAAATCATTCAAGACAGAAAAATCCTGTAGTGTGTGGCAGCCTTTAGACTTTAACAAACTTGGAGACATTAGCTCACACATCACAATATACTATAATATAATATTATCTAATATAGTATAGTATAAGACTAGTTTTATTGGAGCTGCTCCCCCAGCAGACCACAGCAAAGTACAGGACACTGGCCACCACAGACTTGTAAAAGATCTCCAGTAACTTGCTGCACACATTGAAAGACCTGAGCTTTTCACAGCATTACTGTTGTCCCTCCAGTCCAGCTTTTTGTTCATATGGATGCCCAGGTATTTGTAGCAGTCCACCAACTTCATCTTCACCTTAAGATAAATTTGTGGGGCTTGCCATTGATTTGAAAAGGTTTATTTTCTTTACTTTATTTAGTCAAGAAGCAACATCAGCAGGCAGGGTGATATCAGCAAATAGCTCAGGAACTACTGTCTGGTTGAACTTACACCTGATCATTTTGCTCCTTTTGTATCACATCTTATAATTATACTGTCTGTTTTATTGTGTTTGCGCAGGTGTAGCGTTCGTCTTTGACACCACTCTGGCTGCAGGCTTCAGTATACTAGAGAGCCAGAGGGAGTTCATTTCCAGGTACCGCAGGAGGAGCCACGACAGCCACGCCCTGCCCATGTTCACCTCCTCCTGCCCGGGTAAGACACCTGTCAGGGCAAACTCTGGGATTACTCACTATGTTTACATGCACACTAGGTACAATATGTAACATTTTGTTGGAGCTCCGTCACCTGCTTGGTTCTATGACTGTGCTGTTGCTCTGCCTGGAATGTTCCATAGTATGACATTAAACAGCTCTACCTCACCTTTATTCAGTTCTGGTAGTTTTATTTCTCAAAATATAGACAGGATAGAAAATAGAATAGAATGGAAAGGTTTAATATCTTACTGTGAATCATTCCAGACGATCTGAATGAAGAAACACATTTGACAGACCCTCCACCAAAAAAGTTACACAGTTCACCTTTAAAACAGATTTATCAAAATGCATTGATACATACCCTGATAGTCTGATACACATATTTGATACCCACGGCATCTAACCAACATCCAATTTACCGTATTTTTAAGACTATAAGTCGCTTCGAGTATAAGTCGCACCAGCCAAAAAATACCTAATGAAGAAGAAAAAACATATATAAGTTGCACTTTTTGGGGTAATTGAATTTTATAAAATCAGAGATCAGGAACAGACATTTCATCTTGAAAGCCAGGTTCTAGTAATAACTATAGAATAGAGAACAACAGACTGTTAACGTCACATATGAACAGTTCTTCAGATAAATATAGCATAAACAACAGAACAAGTTTACCAAACTCTCCATCTCACTCCAAATCACTAAATCCATTGAATTCTTCATCCTCGGTGTCACTTCTGAACAACTCCGTGACCTCTGGAGGTAAACAGAGCGCCGCTTCCTCTTCTGTGTAGCTGTTGTCAGACTCAGCATCAGTTCCAGTTAGAATTATTCCGGCCTTTCTGAATCCCGACAGGATGGGTTTAGTGTCACTGAAGTCCTATGTTCTTCATCCCGTCTTTTCCCCAGTCCCTTACAAGTTTCTCACTCACTCCAAACTTTCTCTGCTGCTCAATTACCGTTTTTGGCTCAATAGTTCTCTACTTGCAGCAGGACTGCAGCTTTTTCTGGCATATGCAGTAAATGACGAATTGACAGTGGTACATGAGTAATAGGAGCAGCAGATCCTACCACAAAAGACTACAGACTCTCGCCGCTGTTAGTGTGAAAGTCACAGGAAACACCCAAACCATGAAAAAGTGCGACTTACAGTCCTTAAAATACAGTACATTAGGAACAGACCAGGAGAGGCATTCAACTACACGAGGTAAGACACAGCCAGGCAAATAGTAGACGTGTTTGTACATGTACTCGTTTCAGATTAGCAACAATGATGAACTACAACCCCTCCACCGCGGGCTAGCATAATATGTTGTTTTATTTTGGTCTTCAAAGTGAAAGTGAAAGTGAAACCTACCTGAGCATCAATGTATATTTGTAGATTTAATATGTAGCTTATCTATCTTAGCCAAAAGTGTGTATGTATGCTGTGCTGATATGCTGTGTTTTATTATTACTAATTATAGCTGCAATGTTTTAGCACCAATCCTAAATTAAAACACCTGAACATTTCATAGCACCAATAGCATTTGTTACTTTTTGGTTCTTTGGCCTGCTGTAGACTGGGACAAGAGTCTGACAGGCTTTGAGGAAAAGATTATTTGAATTTACATTGTTGAATTGTTTTGCACATTCTGAGTTCTCTATGGATGTAAACGTAAACTTTTCTGTCAGACATCTTTGTACTGTATGTAGTCAGGGCTGGTGCAGTGAGATAGGGAGCCGTTCTCTACCACTCCCAAGCAATCTAGATAGCACAAGAAAATGACACTGTAGTGTAGCTAGACTTTTGTATGTCAACATTATAACGTTTTCTATTCCAGGGTTTTATAGCTAAACATATTAAGCTATAAATAACAAAGACTGAAATTATTTAAATCTGCACCTTTTAACTTTTCTGTAGGGCCTGCTTTCTGTCTAGCTCAGGGGTGTCAAACTCATTTTGGTCTGGGGGTCGTATCCAATCTACTTTGATCCCAAAGGGGCCGGATCAGAAAACTCATGGCATATAAACCCCAAAAATAATAATAAGTTGAAATATTTGTGCAGAGAAACGCAAATCTTTCTTTTACAAAATATTATATTATGAACAACCTGAAACTTTAAGAAAAATACAATTTCAACACAATGTTTTAACACTGACTTGTAAGCGAATAGGAATAAGTCAGTTTTTCTTGGGAAATCCTGCACTCGGCTCCACTTTTCTCATGTTGGACATTTTTCTGATGAGGGTGTCACGGTCAACAGTCAAAACGATCGTCCTTTAAGAGAGTTTGGAAAGAGGCAAGTCTTCATTTGTGCTGCTCTGGCGGGAGGGGCCACGTACAGAGACGCTGGAGACGCTGCTGTGATAAACACCACAGAAAATTATCAATATTTTAATAGAAAATATAATAAAAATATTTTTGTAGAAAATCAGCCGAGTGCCGGGTTAAAGGTCTTGGAGGGCCGGATCTGTCCCCCAGGCCGTATGTTTGACACCCCTGATCCAGTTCCTTGTTACTGCTTTGCCTAGAATGTTCAACAGTATGGTATTAAAGTTATCTATCTTTTATTTATTCAATTAGAAGTAGTTTTAATAGCATGATGGTCACTTCTCCACAGGTCTCACTTGTAACTTGCTTGTCTCTGGAAAATTTCTGGCAAAGTTAGACAGGAGATGGACAGGTGCATCGTGCAGTTTTAATGGAGATAGACAGGTGCATAGTGCAACTTTAATTATATAATGTCCTCTGCAATGCTTTAATAAGCTTGTGTCTCTATGTGATCTGATTATTATTACTTTATTATTTACTGTGTAGTAGGGCTGGTTGCAGATACGATACATACCTCGATACATAGGCCGCGATACGATACATATACACATACAGTGCAGTTTCGGTTCGATATGATAAACTGTATTTTAAATCAATTCGATACAGTTCAATAAAACATAATGGATAAATGATAGCTGTGATAATAAAGGTATTTGTTAAACCATTTCTTGTGCAGAGGGAATATGAAACACTCCCATTTTAATCATCAAAACAGTGAATGTGTCCAATGTGTCGCATAAATAGGTTTCCTTCCACTAAACAAGCAACAAAACTGTAGCTGTAACAAAATAATTTAGTAAATTATACCAAAAAATACTCTTGGCGATATATTGATACAGCAGCCCACGATATCGATACTGTATCATCTAGGGGTGTAACAATATCATCACTGCATGAACTTCACGGTACGGTGGAGAGGCTCACAATTAGGGATGCAACAATATCCAAATCTCTCGGCACAGTATTTTCACAATATACATCTCATGGTACGATATTTATTGCAATATTTTGTGGAAGCTAACAAAACTGTTAATACGCTACTTTTTCCTCTTAAAATGCCTTGACAAGACTTAATCCAAAGAACTAAGACTTAAAAGTGCTTAGAACTGTTATTTCTTCTTGTAGTTTACACTGAAATGGAGCAAAGGATCATGGTCTGTGTAGTTCTCGGTCTTTTTTTTTTTTTTTTTTTTACCTATTGCTGCATAACTCTTCATTTAAGAAAGAGACTTGTTATTCAATATATTGTGATGGTCCACGGTATTATTGTGAGAACTCTGACGATACAATATCACTATATTTCGGTTATTGTTACATCCCTAGTATCATCACATTAAACGATATTTTGATATTTTTGCACAACCCTACTGTGTAGTGCCTGCTAACACTGTAGTTTAGACCTCTATAAAACAATGTTCTGAAATGCATGGGATTCTCGTTAGTTTATCTGTTCGTATTTCAGTCTTTCTCAAATATTACTCCTCCTGGAGGGGTTTAATGAAGTGATTAGATACTCTTGAAGTTCCAGAAGTAAAGTTCCAAAATGTGGTGCTATAATAAAAAAAAACAAAATATTAGGCCAAAATTGTAAACGGGATTGCAAATTTTTTTCTTTCAAAATGTCATTTAATCTCAATCTTGTTTCGGCTGCAAAGTTATCCACAATAGAAATGAAATCTCAATTTGAATGGGCACAAATGACAAATCACTAAGGCTGTAGTTTTACTGTAGACATACTATAATTTCCTCCACAAAGAACAAAATCTCCTGTCTTATTGTGCATAAAAACTGTTAACCCTGCAGTTTAGGTCTGTATAAACATGTTCTGAAATAGTTCATTTGACAGTTCAGTTTTCAGAGCGTGTTCAAAGTAGAATCCAATTAATGAAACGTACATCACAAATCTACTCACAATCGCAATTCTTGTCTGAAAATTGGCAAGTAGATCTTTTTCCTAAATCATTCATATCTACAGATCTCATTTTATGGTGCCTTGTGAAGTACTCTTGAAGTTCTTGAAGTATAAAGTGTGTGTGTGTGTGTGTGTGTGCGTGCGTGTGTGTGTGTACAGGGTGGATCCGGTATGCAGAGCGCGTTCTGGGCAGCCTGGTGACCCCTCACATCTGCACTGCCCGCTCCCCTCAGCAGGTCATGGGCTGCCTCATCAAGGACTACTTCTGTAAACAGCAGGTACCTATGTGCACCCCAGGCAGTTATCAAAAGTAGTCAGGATTATACGGCTAGGACTTGTGTGAAAAATAGTGTTCCTATAGTGTGCAAAACGACATAAAGTCACATATTACACTATTTTCTGATCTATATTATAAATAAGGCTGTGCTAAACATCGAAAGATAGATCACAAGTTCTGCGTTGGTCAATTTCAGTGATAAAGCACATTGTAATCGACAGGTCAGCAATGTGGCAGTAAGAGAGCCTAGTGCTGATGAGGATCTTGTTTGTGTCTCGCCACAAAATGACCACATTTACATGATGTTTTAATTCAGAATTAATTGTTCTGAATTAAATAGTTTGGAATTAAAATATTCTCATTCAAGTTTACATGGAAATAATCATTCCGAATTGAAGTTTACATGTAAAACTCTTTAAATCGTCTTTAATTAATTCTACTCAACGTCTGGGGGTGGGGAAGGATCTGATTGGACAGAGACACCAATGTATTTACATCGACCGGAAGAAAACACACACTTCAGCTGCTGCTGGCTTTTTTGTCATCTTGGTTTGCCGTTACGCGATCCAAACTTTTTTTTGCAGTCGTTCCGATGATAATTGTGCAGCAGCTGGAGAATTCTCTCATCACGCTTTATATCTGTCAGCTGAAGAGGAGAAGGGAACAGTGTTGGAGAAGGGAGGAAGAAGACAAACTGAGTCAACGGCTGCTCTATCTCAGCCTACTCCCACATCCCGCTCACAAATCCAAAGAGACGTGGATGAAAGTCTGAAGCCAGGACTGGTGGAGCCGGATCGTCCGGATCATGTCAGAAGGGCGACACAACGAGCATGTGCTGAACGACTGCAATTATTTTTAAGAAGAATAAATGTTTTCATGATCGAGGAATAAATTACTTTGGCTTTAAAATCAGAATAAACCACACACTTACTTTGGAATTAAGTTTCATTCCGAATAATCATTTTTATTAGTAATTTAACTTTACTGTCTTTTTAAAGCAAAATAATTTTTTATTCAGAATTAAATGAGTTTTATTCAGAATTAAAGCTCTCATGTAAATGTGGCAAATGGCAGCATTCATCTGTGGAATCTGGAATTGCACCACCAACCTGTGGGTCAGTGGATCTGACCACTCAACCCATGAAGTTTATGTCAAGAGCGGGATTCATATCACCTGTCAGTGGACAAATGCTCTACCAACTGAGCTACTGTCACGCAGCCGAGTTTCATTCACTCGTGTTTGGATAAGCCTTTATTATTAGTCTGTCTACATCTTCAAAGCTCAAACTGCTCTGTAGTGGTAGTTTTCAAGTTAACAGCTCCTTTTACCTTTTGTTCAGTAGAGATGGGCAATTCTGAAATTATTCAAATGATTCTAGTTAAAGTGTTTGGAGTTTAAAAATACAGTGAAGCACTTCCTGTATTACCACATGACATCACAAGGTGGAACAGTGTGTTTTCAGTTTGAGAGAAGAACTCAGCCTAAATATGCAGGATTTGTGTGTTAAACATGTGCAAATCAAATAAAACTCAGCACCAAACTAAACAACATTATGGTATAGATCAGGAAATAGTGTAATATAGGCCCTTTAATTTCAATCTATTTAAATTCATTTGACTATTGTCCAGTGCAGTGTGTTGTAGTAGCTCTGTACGTTATCATTGTGCACCTAAATGCATCTCATCTTATCTGATGTAGTTTTAACCCTGACTGTCCCTGTCCCTGGTGTTTCCTGGCCCACAGAAGCTGAGTGCGGAGAAGCTGTACCATGTGGTGATCGCTCCCTGCTTTGATAAAAAGCTGGAGGCAGTGAGGGAGGAGTTTTACAACAGTCTGTTTGAGAGCCGCGACGTCGACTGTGTCCTCACCTCAGGTTCATATACATTTATCAGAGCCCTGACTTATCTGCTTCTGCTGCCCCTTCCTATTACTATTACTACTATTATTACTATTCCTGTCTAGATAAGAGTGTTTGTTAGAGCAGACTATTGAATTCTATTGTTGTAGTTTAGTATTTGTAAAAGTTGTTTAAAAAAAGAAAAAAAGGTGCACTATGCAAACTAAACTAAACAGTAGCTTTTCTGGAAGGGGGTCTTTTTGTCTCCATGGAGATGTTATTGTGTAGAATGTTCCACATTATATATTCTACCAGTCAAAAATTTGGACACACCCTCTCATTCAACGTCTTATTTTTGTCTTTATTTTTGCTACTTTCTACATTTTGTATACATACAGAAGACATCAATTATGTAGTAAAGAAAAAATAGATGTACTTTTCAACAAGAAAAAGGTGGCTCCTTTAAGGTTTGGAATATAAAATATTACTATTAATATTAGCTTTTTGCTCCATAATTCCTTATATCTTACTTCATATATTTGTATACAAAATGTAAAAAATAGTAAAAATAAAGAACTGTCCAAACTGTTGATTGGTCGTGTATGTATAATTTGCTCGAGCCAGTAAAAGAGTAACTGGCGAGGGTTATTGTTTTTCGCTGGTTTCTTCTTCTCTATTATTATTTTGCCTTGCAAACGATCACAATTTTGTGGACCTAAACATCGATGAAAAGTTCCCAAACTGGGTATGGAACTGATTGGTCTGGTGAAAAATTGGACAAAATGGGCATCGCGACAATGCCCATCTAGTCCCTTGTTTTTGGTCCAAATGAACTGACATTTGGCACATCACATCTAGAGAAATGTGCAAAATGTGTTCACAAAAATGATCTGTTTTTTTCACTAATGTGTGATCTCAGCCTGAATATAATATACTATAAAGCAACATAATATGAATTCACCATATTCAGTTGAGTGGTTTTGACTACGGTAGGTTTACATTTCATTTCTGAGACACTGTTTTCAAGTGATTTTTTTGTTTTGTTTTTATCAGTGAAAAACACTATATAAGTAAAGTTTGCTTACTTAATTCCTCACTCACATTACTCACACATAACTTGTTTTACATGTAAATCCAGATTAATGACTAAAGCTAAAATGTCTTTGTTTATGTGACAGGTCAGATCTATGAGCTGATGGAGCAGAGGCAGGTGACAGTGGAAGAGCTGGACTCATCTCCACTGGACCACATGTGAGTTCTGCTGTAACGTTTACCCAGCAGCCATAATGTTTACAAATTAAAGATTAGAGTCTTTAATTGGTCAGCAACACTGGTCAACGTTGTACCTCATCTTTACTTTCTTAAAAATGTAAAAAGAACCAGAACTATTTCATTTTAAATGGTTCCCAGTTGTTTCACACTTATATATTCCGAACATCCTAATTATTTACAACAATGCATTTAAATACTTTTCGTAATTCTAAATTTCATGCTAGGATGACATAGAGAGCTGCTTATGCTCGGGTAATACAAACGTAATTAGACATTAGACTTAGACAAATTTTATTGATCCACAAAGGAAATGATTTGGACACAGTAGCTCACACATCACAATATAATATGATAACAAAAACAAAAAAATGTAGACATAATAATACATTCTAAATAAGTAGCAAAAAAATAGCAAGAGACTTGTCAAATAAGGCATAATTATGTATGTATATGTAAAAGTCAAAATGAAATAGAAAATAAGTAATCAAATATCTCAGTTATATACAAGAGGTCAAGTTCTACACTGCAGTAGATTTTTAATTCAAATCTTCTGCATAACTAAACTCAACTTTACAACATATAAACCATAAACACTATAGAACCCGTTTGAGATCATAACTTTTAATGCAGCTTTGTGCACATTTGTTTCTGTTTTACAGAAACAAAACTTAAAACCGCATGGCTCATTTGCATAAATGGTAAGCGCTAAAAAAAACAGCTCGATCATCTACATCGCTTATCTAAACTTCATGTATAATGAACATATTTTTAAGATATTGTCATTTTATATCTATATAAATGCAAGTGTGATTAAAAAAAGAATAGCAACAGTATAAAATGAAATTTCAGATAAAGCTCACTAATCAGTTGTGTTGTATTTACAACCGGCCTGTGGGTGACTCATGTGGTATTTTGGGTTATTTGTTACATAAAGGTGAGTTGTTGTACAGTTGTAGGGAGTATTATCTGTTACATAAGGGTGAGTTGTTGTACAGTTGTAGGGAGTATTATCTGTTACATAAGGGTGAGTTGTTGTACAGTTGTAGGGAGTATTATCTGTTACATAAGGGTGAGTTGTTGTACAGTTGTAGGGAGTATTATCTGTTACATAAAGGTGAGTTGTTGTACAGTTGTAGGGAGTATTATCTGTTACATAAGGGTGAGTTGTTGTACAGTTGTAGGGAGTATTATCTGTTACATAAGGGTGAGTTGTTGTACAGTTGTAGGGAGTATTATCTGTTACATAAGGGTGAGTTGTTGTACAGTTGTAGGGAGTATTATCTGTTACATAAGGGTGAGTTGTTGTACAGTTGTAGGGAGTATTATCTGTTACATAAGGGTGAGTTGTTGTACAGTTGTAGGGAGTATTATCTGTTACATAAAGGTGAGTTGTTGTACAGTTGTAGGGAGTATTATCTGTTACATAAGGGTGAGTTGTTGTACAGTTGTAGGGAGTATTATCTGTTACATAAAGGTGAGTTGTTGTACAGTTGTAGGGAGTATTATCTGTCCCTCTATAGTCTGGTGCAGTGGGTGAGTTGTGGTACAGTTGTAGGGAGTATTATCTGTATGTCTGTAGTCTGTTGCAGTGGGTGAGCAGGAGTGTCCATGATGGAGAGCAGTTTGTCCAGCGTTCTCATGTCCCTCACTGTGACAAATGTCTCCAGCGTGAACAGCTTTATGGATCAGTTTGTCACTCCCCCAATGTCCCTTTTCCTGTTACTACTCCCCCAGCAGACCACAGTGAAGTACAGGGCGCTGGCCACCACAGCGCAGGGAAAAGATCTCCAGTAACTTGCTGCACACATTGAAAAACCTGAGATTTCTCGGGAAGAAGTCTACTCCTGGTCTTCATTTACAGAGCAATTCTAATATTTACTTTAATAATGTATTTAATCACGTATTTCCTCCAGGTTGTATAGATTATTGGTATATGTGACTTGTGTTTTTTGTTCTGTTGTTGTAGTTTAGGGGAGGGTGCAGAGGCAGATCTGCACAGACATGAGGGCCGTGGCTCTGAGGGCTTCCTGGAGCACATCTTCAGACATGCTGCTAAAGAGCTCTTTGGTCTGGATGTACAGGAAATCACCTACAAGACACTCAGGTAAAACACTGAACAAAACACAAGGCAATGGACTCAGTCAATGCATGAATTATGTGACACTTTTCAAATGAAGTAATGATAAAATTACAGTATTTACATTACATGTATATTTTGCTTTCATTATACAGTGATTGTTTTCTGGTATTGTCATAGAATGCTTTTACTCATGTCCATTTACTTGAGAAACCTTTTACTCTTACTTGAGTAGAGGTTTTGGTTATTTACAAATGACAAAAGCTTTATGTAACAATATGAAATGATTTGAACATTTGTGTTTCTTGCAGAGCTCCTTCAGATATCATTTAGTTTGTCTCATTTTTAAGTCTGTCCTTGGAAAATACCACATTATTATGTTTCATCCTTCCAATAACTCTATCTTCAAAATAATAATCAAATGCTGTATTCAAACAGTTACTCAATACAATTACTGTTACTTGAATAATAGTTTCCTCAAATACTTGAGCAATTTCTTGGAATACTGCTTTTGTACTTTGACTTGAACGATATTATTTGGAAGTAACCATACTCTTGTATGGGTGCAATCAACTTACACAAGCACAGTTTTTTTTTCCAAATTAAAATTTTTTTACAATAGTCCATTATTATATTAATCATGTTTCAATCAAAGATTGTGCTGATTATTTTCCACCTACTCTAGCAGCTGTTACAGTACGTACAGTACATTTTAATTGGTTTATGACATCATCATGTAAAGGGCACAGTATGTAGTACCAAAGAAACCTCCTAAATGCTTAACCTTCAGATGGACTCGTCCTGTCAGAATATTGACTGAACGATGTGTGTGCAGAAACCGAGACTTCCAGGAGGTGACTCTGGAGCGGGATGGGGAAGCCCTGCTCCAGTTTGCTGCGGTCTATGGCTTTAGGAACATCCAGACTCTGGTGCATCGCATGAAGAAAGGCCGAGTGCCCTACCAGCTGGTGGAGGTGCTATCCTGCCCCGGAGGTAATTATTACCTAATTTATAATTTGTTCTGATCGCTTTGTGTGGAGGGAAGTCATAACTCATCTGTAATAGTTTAAAAACCTCAGGTAAACACTGTAGAGGCTTTTCCTCTTTGGTCATTTGGACTGTGTTTTTGCGAGCTCCATCCAGAAGCATTTTACATTTGTTGGGGCTGGCTTGAAATTCTGGACTTCATTTTAACCTGAGTTGGACATGTTAAAGTTCAGCCCCAAATGGAGGAGCTTTAGAGTGAAACAGATCTGTCCTGACATCATTCCAGGCCGGTCCCTGCTGTGTGTCTCTTCTGCCACATTGTTAAGTACCAGCTTAGCATTTGATTGATTTGTTAATGTTAATTTTCATCTACCTCATTCTACACACATCTGTCATTTATATAAATAGTCCCAATTTTTTTCCCCAAACATTTACATCTTTGTAGCACCAGCCCTGACATACCCTTCCCCCCTCTCTCTCTCCCCTCTCTTCCTCCCCTCTCAGGCTGCCTGAGTGGTCGGGGTCAGGCTGAATCGGAGGAGGGCCGTATCGACAAAGGCCTGGTGCAGCAGATGGAGGAAGCCTACACCAGCCTGCCCGTCCGCCTGCCCGAACTCAACCCGGCCATCCACACCCTCTACCAGGACTGGCTCCAGGGACTCGACTCACCTCACAGCAACACACTGCTCCATACCGAGTATCGCACCAGCAACCCAGCGCAACCGCAGCCCCCGCACATGCAGTGGTGACCCATAAGAATGCTGGCAGAGCAGTACGTCGGGTTTACCTGATGGTACAGCGCTACTGAGCCTGTCTACGCAAAACCAAACTTGGTGTTCATTTCAAGTGCATATGACAGGTTAGACTAATAAAAAGAAAAAAAACATGGTTATCGTCATTATATTTGACTAGGGATGTAACAATAACTGTGATATTGTACCGTCAGAGGTCTCACAATAACATCGCGGGCCATCGCAATATATCAAATTGTAAGTTCCTTTTCTTTAATTGATTCTTATGGTGCAGCATTAACTAAAAAAACAGAGAGAACTACATATCCCATGATTCTTTGCTTTGTTTCAGTCCAGTCTACTTGATTAAATAAGTGTTATTAAGCACTTTTAAATCTTAATTATTTGGACTTTGACAGAAAAGTAGCGTAGTAACAGTTCTGTGAACCTCTAAATATCGTACCGTGACATGCGTATTGTAGAAATATCATATCAAGAGATTTGGATATTGTTACATCCCTATATTTGACAGAAAGTATTTTTTGGTTAAGTTTATAATTTTACACACAGGCAGTGGATATGAGACCCTAATTCCATAATTGTTACCAAGCTGACAAGGTTACTAAGTTACTCCAGTTACTTAACAAGGGCCAAAACCTGTCTAAATTGCACAGTAGTTATCATTTTCTTTAATTAGTCAAATTATAATGCATTTATTTTGATGCATGAAGGTTTAAACTGTCAGAAAAATGCCTTCTGCCACACACTACAGAAAAATATGCCAGATTTTGGGTGTGATTTCTTCTACGCTCTTCACGTGTCTGTGTGTGGTGTCATTGTCAGATCATAACCACCAAACATCAGCAACGCTACGGTAACAATAAAACAGAGCGTCAGGGGCATAGGAGTGACAGATGCATACAAACTCAGGATATAGCTAAAATAAAGACTTTATTTCTCACCTTTCGTAAAGTGGTTAATTTAAACCGCAGCTTCTCATCCACATTATCAATAGGATTATTACTATTAATACTACTATTATACTATACAATATATACAATTACTATTAATCCAGTTAAAGGTGTTCTTTAAAAGTAAAAAGGCGAGAGTAGTTCCTCACGTGTGTCTGTTTACATCCACACAGCGCACGGATCGAGGTGAAGCTGCAAATAAGTGATAGTAATCCGTTTTTCACTATAAGACCAAAAATAAGAAAATGAAAAAACAACTGTTTTCTTCATTATTTGTCTCCAAAACCAAAATGAAAAAATGGATAATGAGTCGTTTTTTCAGTTTTCGATTTTGTGTTTAAATGAATAACGGAAAAAACAGATAACGGCTATTTACCATTTCTATGACTTAAACTGCGATGCCCGGACTTTTGTGCCACATACGGACTGAGCCAGGAATAAACCGTTTTCACTTCTGGTCTGGCCTCCGTCTCAGTCTCAGTCCTGGTCCTGGTCTCAGTCCCGGTCTGGTTCCGGTCTGGTCCTGGATCTGGGTTAGTCCTTGCTTAGTTCTGGTTCAGTCCGTATGCGGTGCAAAAGTCCAGCATCGCAGTTTAAGTCATGGAAATGGGAAACGGCCGTTACCCGTTTTTTCCATTTTTCATTTAAAAACAAAATCGAAAACTGAAAAACGAATCGCTATCCATTGTTTCATTTTGGTTTTGGAAACAAATAATGAAGAAAATAGTTGTGTTTACATATTCTTCTTTTTGGTTTTATATTGGAAAAACAAATGAAAGAATGATACACGGATTGACAGTCACTCTACTTCCTGTGGACTTTATCTCCAATCTTTTATGCTTTAAAAATCATGTATCTGAAGTACTACACCACATTTCACAAACAATAATAACACAGTTCTGACTTGTATTTAAACTAGAAGCACAGAGCTCTGATCCTTTAAAAACTTCAGCATCTCAAAGCTAGTGGTTTTACTGTAGACAGGAAATAGCTGACACGAATTACACTCACAACTTTATATGCTGTGGTCCGCAGACCAATCCCATTGGGGTCTTTGTGATCGGAGAGTTTAAATCTCATAAGATTCTCCTCGTGTCTGTGGTGTGCGCTTTTTGTCGCATGTTTAAAAATCGTTTAAGACCAAAAAATCCTGTAGTGTTTGGTGGCCTTAAATCGTCCCTGCAATTTGAATGGAATTTTTGAAAAAGGTGTTCCATAGGTAAAGGTGTTCCATTGTACACAGGTACCAAGTAATAATTAGACAAGCATGAAAACCTGTCATATGTACTAAAATGGTGAATCTTCCATAGCGCGCGATATAGGCCCCTGCCCTCGATCTGAAGTTATGATGCATTCTTCCTTTCAACCACTAGGCAGTGCTGTTGAGCCTCACAGAACACGCAGAAGACTGACAGGGAGTGTATATGTGGCTATCATGGAATGCAATCCTATAATAATAATAACAATAATAATAATAATAATAATATGTAGCAGAAAGGTTGTTTTTTTTATGTAACTGGAATCATGCATTAAAACCGTGAATGCAGTTTTGAATTGTATGTTGTATTTTTATATATTTTAATTTCAAAGATTAAAGGGCCCATATTACACTATTTTCTGATCCCTGTTATAATGTAATTTCCTCTTTTTTCCACTTTTTATTCTTACATTTTAATACTTTTACTTCAGTAAATTTTTTCATGTGTTACTTTAACTTGAGCATTTTTTGCATCATTACAGTAGGGGAGACCGGGGCACAGTGGATCAGAAAAGTTATTTTTCAGCCTGTAACACAGACTAATGATAGCATAGTTTCTTTTTTATTATAAGTAAGTAATGCTGTGTGTTGTCCATACAAAATTGCTACTACCTATTACCTTACTGACAAGCATTTAAATGGGAAAACTTTTTTGATTCACCCTGCCCCTGTACTGGGGTAAGGTGAATCAGTACATGGGGTACAGTGATTCAGATTTAATCACCAATAACATTTATTTGAATACAGTAAATTAAATAAATGCTTACTTTTAAAGCTGGAAAATGAATGCAAACATGTGCCAAAACAGATTGGTGTCTGCCTGAACTTTTTTCATATAAAGGTGCCAAACTTTGCTCCGGTTTGCTTTATACATAAAACTAAATTTGTACACCTATTGACCACATGTGGTTCTTGTGAAATGTTGTGTTTTTGGGCTTACTTACATAGGTTTTCACAGTGATCTCACAGTGAATATTGCGATCCACTATGCCCCAATCCACTGTGCCCCAAATTAACTCTTTTTAGATCAGATGACCTACTTACCAAATGGCCAACTGTTGCATAGAAACTACATGTGCTTACCTTTTTCCTGGATGAACTCTACATGATAACAACTATAAAACTACCTCAATATTTTCCATATTCTCATTCACCTTTTGCCTGAATCATTCAACCCAAATCAAGAATCCATCAAATCAAAAAGGGCTTCCCCCAAACATTCTTGTGCTGCCACCATCTAGAAATTTCCTTTGCATAAAATAAAAATATAACCACTGATTCACTGTGCCCCATGATCCACTGTGTCCCGGTGTCCCCTATTTTTACTTGTGCACGTCTGCATATATACTGAACGATAATTCCATATAGTACAGTATTTATTGGGGCAGGCCTGTCTCTGTGGAGTAAAACTGAAAATAATGCTTAAATTTGCAGTTTTTATGATGTAAAAATTATAAGGAAAAAGTCAAATTATGAGCAAAATGTCTGTGTTTATTTAAGTCTACACTTATATTAAAGGAGCCCTGTGTCATTTATCCGGTGAAGGGGTTGCAACTTGCTTGTTGCCATGGAGATGTTATTGCTTTGCCTGGAATGTTACACAATATGGCGCCAAGTTTCCCATCATGCTTTTATTCAATTCTGTTTTTATTTCTTAAAAATTCATTGAAAAGCAGGCATTCTTACAGTAAGCCCAATCTTCTCTTCACAGATCTTACCTAACTCCATGGAGACACACACAGACGTGGACAAAATTGTAAGGAAAGAAAAATCAAAAATGGTCACTGAAATAACTTGAAACTGAGAAAAGCAATAATAAATTTTTAAAAATTCCTGAAAAATAACCAATGAAAATCAGACACTGTTTTTGAATTGTTATTCAACAGAATTCTTAAAAAAAACAAAAAAACTAAAGAACCTGGCCTGGACAAAAATGATGGTACCTCTAGAAAAGATTATAAGTAACTGAACAATAGGGACATACGTGTGAACTTAGGTGTGTCTCTAATCTGCATCACAAATGTCTTCAAACTTGTCTTCAGTCAGTTTAAAGGGGGACATGTGTCATTGTGCCATTTGGAGACATGATGAAGACAACACTGAACATGGACCAGAGAAAGAGAAGAAAACTGTGTCAGGAGACTAGAAAGAAAATGATTGACAAGCAGGTTAAAGATAAAGACAATAAGACCATCTCCAAGCAGTTTAATGTTCCTGTGATTACAGTTCCACATGTTCTTCAGAAGTTTAAGGTCCACCTCCCTGGATGTGGCTGCAAAAGGAAAATTTATGACAAATTGAAGAGATGGATCATACGAATGGAACCAAAGAGCCCAGAACAACCTCCAAACAAATTAAATGTGAAGTTGAAGGGCGAGGTACATCAGTGTCACCATCCATCAATGTTTGAGCCAAAGTGGACTTCATGTCTCCACTGCTGAATGTAAATCATAAAAAATTTAGACTGGAATTTGTCACACTGCATATTAACAAGCCACAAAGCTTCTGGGAGAATGTCCTTTGGACAGATGAGACAAAACTGGAGCTCTTTGGCCAGACACATCAACTCTATGTTCACAGATGCAAAAATGAAGCAGACCAAGAAAAGAACACTGTCCCTACTGTGAAGTACGGAGGAGGCTTGGTTTTGTTCTGGGGCTATTTTGCTGCATGTGGCACAGCGTGTCTTGAATCTGTGCAAAATACAACAGAATCTCAAAACTATCAAGGTATTTTGGACCAAAATGTGTTGACTAGTGTCAGAAAGTTTGGTCTCAGTCATAGATGATGGGACTTCCAACAGGATAATGACCCAAAACACACAGTTAAAAACACCCAAGAATGGCTAAGATCAAAACATTGGACTGTTCTGGAGTGTTCTACTGTGAGCCCAGATTCTGTTGAACATCTGTGAAAGGAGCTGAAAGATGCTGTCTGGAGAAGGAACCCTTCAAACCTAAGACAACTAGAGCATTTTGCTTATGAGAGATGGGTAAAAATATCAGTTGACCAGTGCAGAAGGCTCATTGACAGTTACAGAAATCGTTTGTTTGCAGAGTTTGCCTCAAAAGGTTGTGCAACAAAATATTAAGTCAAGGGTACCATCATTTTTGTCCAAGCCAGTTTCATTGTTTAGTTTTTTTTTTTATAATTCTGTTGAACCACAGGTGAAAAGCAATGTTTGATTTTTATTGGACAATTTTCAGCAAATTTTTATTTATTATTGCTTTTCTCAGTTTCAAGTTATTTCAATGATTATTGTTGATTTTTCTTTCATTGCCAGAGGGGTACCAACAATTTTGTCCACATCTGTAAATTTAAAGCCATACTACTATATTTGTTAACAACAACAGGATTCCAATAGGATTAAAAACCTCCTTAGTCAAATAAAAAGACAAAACCCACTTTGTCAGGATCAGGATTATTTGACTATGGAGGTGCTAGCATAGGTTTTCTACTTATTTACCTTGACATCTCAGACACTGTTCCTGAATTGTTGTGTAAGAAGACTGACCTCTGACCTATGGAAGATGTGAAATCATGGCTGTTACCATGATATCGAAATCTTAGGGAATAGACTTAAGGGGTTAACTTTGATACCCTTCCCCCCACTTGCTTGAACCTTCCTATCTCAGACCTATCGCCCAAGCAAGATATATAGTGTCTTGAGTCATGCACTCCCTGTGTGCTGTACCATACAAAGACCCCTTAAAGGATTAAAGATCTCTTTTTACAAACTAACTTTTCTACAAAGCTTCACCTATTGATAATTCAATTGACTGAAGTTTTTTCATTGACTATAATCGACAAATATAAGACACTATGGGATTTTTGATGGAACAATCTATTAATCTCAAGCCAATAGACTTTCTCCAGAGAAAGAAAGGAATGAAATTCAATTCATTCAATGAGCTATGGCCAGTGTGTTTTAATACTGATTTTTAAATGTCATGTAAATACTTTCTTTGTGTAAAGCTGTTAATGTTCATAGTGTGTAATAGGTGAGCTACGTCATAAACCCCCCCACTCGACTAACTCACATTCCACACGCAGACCCACCATTATACAGTTTTTCCCGCTTATCTGAAGACTTAAGACAAGGAAAACAGACCTCTCCCCAGAGATGCCAGTTTCGCAGATTGCCCAGTTCTGACCAGTTTGTTCAGATCTCTGTTCAGCAGGAGATCGCAGAAGCAGTTCAGCTCAGAATGGTCAAGATGTAGTAGAGCCGAACAGGAGGGACAATGCCCAAGTTCTCCCTCTGTTCAAAGCTGTGCCCATTGCTTGATGTGTTTTTTTACTCAAATACCTTCATTGGACCCAACAGGACCACATCGTGACTGGAGATCTCCACGCTCCCCGGGGTGTATGCGCACTATCACAGAATGGCTTGTTTTATCAATCTAGACTCAGCACAGAACTTTATATAACTCTTAAAGTTGTGCCTAATCTCTCTAGACACCAGTTTAGCAGTTTAGAGCGACCTACACTCACTTACATATTTGATATTTAATGCTGTCTGTATAACTTGGTCAATAAATATCCATAAACCACAGTTTGCTTTGGTGAATAGTGATGTTATTTCCAGTGATGTCATTCAAAATATGCAGGTCACTGATATGGTCAAGAATTTACGAACCTTCAGATTAATTGTTTAATTAATTAATTAATTAATTAATTAACATAGGTAATTGATTAAATTGGATTGGTAATATTTCTCAACATTTGTTGAGTGGTGCCCCCAAATTTACTTCTAGTCAGAGCCGAACACTCACAAAGGCCACGTGAGTGCTGCTTTAACTTAGAACTCCTAAATTTCAATCTGTAACATCAATTACCCCCCTACATCTAATGGTATCATGCTGTGAGCCCATGTAGATTTTACACAACATATTTTGGTGCCAGCGTGAGGCCAGATGTACTCACACTACAGTTGGAGCTGGACCTCCTCGCCTTTAACTTATTATTCTATGGTAAATTGATTGATTAGAATATTCCCTCCATAATAGGCAAAGTTCCTTATGGCGACGATAAAGCAATACATATTATATTCTTATTTGTTGTAACTAAATGTATTTGCTCTTGCTCATCTCTGTTCTATTGTTGTAAAAGTGTAATACAGATTTTGTACATTAGACTAGAGCCCCCACCAGTGGTTAAGTTATTGTTGTAATTTGGTAAAACATGTAAAGAAAATCCAAGTTGTTCATGTGTCAAGCTCGTACTACCCTCAAATGACCGTTGCCTTTGAAGAATATTTGTCTGTAAGTAGTGATATGTGGAAAGATGAATTTGTTTCAGTTTTATGGTTGGTAAAATAGGACCAGGGCTGTTGCTGGCCATTTGGGTGCCCTAAACACAAATGCTTTATGGTACAAAAGCATTGTGATTTACAACCATGAAATAAAATTTGAAACCTAAAAAATGGCCAAACTTTTTACAGTATTTTTCACATCATAGGGAGCGCTCTTAAGCCTCCAACCCCATCAAAAAACAACCGTGAGCCCCGCAATCCAGAGCGCCCTATCCATGAATCCACTCAGGTGTCCCAGCACAACTTCAATAAACTACAAAGCCACACCACCCACAGAACACGCAAACACACACGGAGCAGACGGTGACCGCACAGCGAAACACACCCGCAGCCACACTCATCACTCCACGCCGACGAGGAATGGAACGGAGGAAGGAACTGAAAAAGCGAGTGCAATGTGCCACTTCTAGACACAACTGAACAACTGAGTCACTGCGAACACGCCGACAATCCGTTGGTCCCAGACAGCACCCTCCCTACACGCCACAACTGAACAAAGCCCAGAGTCACCGTGAACACCACAAACAAAGTCCCACTGACCCATCCAACTGTTGTGTTACGTTTAAAGTCCGGTGCAGTTTATTTATGAAAAAAGTGTGAAAATAGACCATTCAGTGACAGTGCGCCTTATAATCCAGAGCGACTTATAGTGCAGAAAATAAGGTAGTCAGATTTAAATATACAGTAGTGGTCTTGACTGTGTGTGGTGGACTTTGTGTTTTAGTCAAATGAGGAATCCAACATGTCACAGGCACTTTAAATAAAGGTTTTGGTCATTTCAAAATCCATGTTGGTGACCCTGATTTTAAGTGTCAGGGGTCTGATGGTGACAGGCAGTCTGATAAGATGGTGTAAGCCAATGAGACAGCTGGACCGATGTGGACACGAATGACTCTTGCGTCTAAAGGAGACAGAAGATGACAGTGGAGCCTCTGTGCACCTGAGATGTGTGTGGGACAAGTCTGGAACTATATCGCTCAAAAAAAAAAAAAAAAAAAAAAGAAGCATTCTTATTGCGCATGTGGGAGATAGTCAAGTAACAGGTCATAATACATAATACAGAGATAGATACCACTTAAGAAAAAGCAGTAATGTCTCCACCAACACCATCTCATAGTGCGATGATGCGAATGAGGGGCTCTTTTTCATTATGCTTATAAATACCAAACTTATATTGGATAGCAATATATAGTTGTTAATTTATAGATAAAATATATATATATATAAACTCATATTTGAAATACAATATTAATTGTTATGAACCTTGTATTTCTATGTAAAGAATATATACATAAACCCTGTTATAACATTGTTCATAGGTCCACTCCTTCTAGGCCCCATTAAAACATGCAATTTTGAAATGACCAGTTTTGTAACATAAAAGGTCAAAGTTTGGGGGTCTAGTGTGCTGTTTTCAATTCCGTGAATCTAAATCTGAGCTTTGCCGCTGTCAAATCATTATAACGGCATGCTTCTATTAGATGCACTACCCTAGTTGTGTGTAAAATTCTCTTCGCTGCCAGTAGATGGAAACACTGAAAGATGGACAGATGGAAAAACCAAGATCTGTGTTACTCAAGAACATGTTTTAAAGTCAATAACTATACAAATAATGGATAATATTTGTTCTTTAAATTGAGCATATACAGCAGAAGTGCTTAAGCTGGAATACTCTGCACTGTGACTGTAAAACATGGCTCAACTTTTCTCACTGAAAAGCATGAGCTGTATCAAGAAATGTGGATATTTGATGCATGCAAGAGCAATAAGTACCAATGGACAGAAATACAGCAGCCAACATTCGGACTATCTGCACAGGAGTATTGTGCCGACAATGCATTACCAGAAGAGTCTGCCCAGGTAACACCAGACAAAAAATACCTAGGGTGAAACATTTGGGCAATTTCTTAAAATACAATGTCATACAAATGTTTGTTAACATCAGTGTAAATCTCCACAGCAGCTTTGTTCTTAAAGAGTCACAAGTTTCCTTTAATTATTCAGTAAAAAATATTCAGTTTTCTGTTAAATCATTTTGTAAGAGTTCCTAGTTTACCTCATATCAGGAAAAAGGTCCAGGTGTGGTGGTAAAATGGGCCAGTGACTGACTCTGATGCTTCGTGAAATAACCATCAAAGAAATGTGGTTGTATTTCTAATAACACAGTGTCCAGACTCAGCCAAACCCAATTCCACTCATTTTATTGTGGAAGTCTTCTCTACAGCATCTCCAAAGCCACTGTTGACATGTTGTGTGGATTCTGCTCACTGACCAGCTGCATGTGGAATCATTTTTTCACATGAGAATACAGTTCATCTAGTACAGTATCTGTCACAAACATGTTTCAAATCAAGAGTTTTCCCTGTGCTCTCTTGCAAAATGAATTATGTTATGGATAAAATGAATGAAAAAGCAGTGGTCCACTTTACCTGAAACAACACGTTCAGGTAAAATGGGCCGGGTGTAAATTCAGGTTTAGAAAGTGATACATGTTTATTTTGTCAAAAAAATCCCATAAAAAAATCATGTTCTTCTTAATGACAACTATTTACAGTGTATCTATTTGTGCAGTGCTTATGTTGCACAATTCACACCAGAAAACGATAGGCCTATAAGCCTTATTTTATTTGGATTGAAGTCATACTTGGTCATTTGACATGTTTTGCTTCCATTGTCCAAACAAGTGACTGTCTGTCAAATGTGTCATCTCCAGACCGATCAAAACTGCTGAAAAAGTTCATGTGATGTAGTAGTGACAGTTATCAGTTGGTTTCCAGCAGGAGCGACCAGTATCTCTCCACCCTCTTCCAAGTAGCTCGCCAAGGGATTTCTGAATTACACGTGTTGTGCTGAATAAGTAAAACTGGATTAATGAAATACCTTTTACCATAGTACATGTAGCATTTTGATGCCAAACTTTGTGCACTAATAAACGGAGAAAGGTTTATGTTTTATAAGCATCTGACTGTTCCTCTAAGGCTGTGGCTCTTATATTTGCTCCATTTCTTGTGACTGCTAAAACGAGTAAATCTCTGGCATTTTCGTTTTGTAAAAGTAGCTCACTGGAGGAAAAAGGTTGGACACCCCTGGTTTACAGTGACTGTCTGTTATTAATCCAGGAGCTGTGCCCCTCCCACCCTGAGTGGCCCATTTTACCTGATGGCCCATTTCACCCTCTTTTTATTTATGCACCCCACGCATAATTTGATTTGTACACTGCAAATGACTGAACATCGCTCTCTTCTATGCAAAGTATTGCATTTCTTGTAATAGACAAGGGCCACGTCTCATTTCTCTTTCCTCGCTTCCTTCTCCTCGATTTCTCTCCTTGATCCTTTATTATTCAGCTGTCAATCAAATGTACCATATTAAGTGGTGTCCCAAAACTCAGAGGAGGCAAGGGAAACCACAGAGGAAACCTGAGCGAGGGTTCAAGAGGCAGACATGGATTCAAATAATTGTGTAGTTCTGACAATACAAACTCGTCACTGTGAGACAAGTACAGGGACAGCAGCAGAGTCTGGCATGTTGCACAATCCTTCATTTCACATTAAAACTATAACATCAAAAATATGTTAAAGCACATTTATCTGAAAATAAAGAAGCAAGGAAAGAAAAATGAGATGCCCCCAAGGTGTTTGGTTTGAACTTTTGGATGAATGTAACGCTCGGTCAAAGTGAACTGCAGCTGTTTAACCACTAGAGGGGGTCAGTTCCACACTTATGGGTCAAACTGTCCATGAAGGGCTCCTATTAGGCTCTGTTCTGATCTGTATTGTAATGTTTGGTTTCCTCATCACAAACATACCTGGACTTGTGTTTTGTTTCAGTTACACATGTTTAACACACAATCTGTGTTTCCCCTTGTGAGGTCATGTGGTAATACAGGAAGTGCTCCACTGTTTTTAAACTGCACTTTCAGACCTGGAACTGCCAGTCTCTACAGAGGTAAAGGTAAAAGGAAGCCAAAAACTATGACCACATGACATCACAAGGTGGAAGAGAACATTTTGAGCTTTGGAGATGTAGACAGACTAAATAATGCATGACTACTCACATGTGCGAATGAAACAAAACACAACTCTGGGTATGTATTTGATGAGGTTGCAACATTATAACATGATTTAAAGCTCACAAGAATCAATTTTGTGTAATATAAAACCTTTAAATTCACATGCCATCACTTTCTACCGTTTGAGTGTGTCAAATTTACAGATAGATGAGGTAAGTACTACAGTGTTTCTGTTTGTTTAGTATAGTGTTACACTAGGTCTAAGCTGAGCCTAAATCAGGTATGAAACAGGACAACACACTTGTTATACTGCTTCTAAACAAGGACTAATCCATTTCAGTTTAAGGACAGAAATGTGGCTTTAAAGTGACTCTGAATGAAACACATCTCAGAACTGCAGAAAAATCGATGTAACCTCTGAATGGGCTTGTGCAGACTACTACTCACGTACATACTTGACCACCAACTTTATTTCTATGAGCTCTATAAAAAAGCAAAAGGAAAAATTCAAATCTGTCAACTGGACAAAGGTTTTCAAGTGAAGACAAAGATGCCACTCTTCACTCTAAAACCAGGAGGTGTAACTGAAGGATTACACAGCCCTTTATAATCCTTATCATCACATGATGCATTATAACTCCTAAAATTGCAGCAACAGTCAGATGAACTGTCTTTGTTGTTCCTAGGTTGCCAATACCCAAACTAGAGGACACTATTAGAAGATATTTAGCTGCTCAGAGACCTCTTCTGGATGACGACCAGTTCAGGTACGTTTGAAAAGCACTGAGTCAAAGAATAATAAAACAAGCACTTTTGACAGACATTTGTTCTTGCAGAAACACAGAGAAAATTGCAGAAGATTTCAAGAATGGAGTGGGAAAGCAACTGCACAAAGAACTGGTCGCTCAGGACAAAAATAATAAACACACGAGCTACACGGCAGGTATAATTGCCTTTCTATGATAAAAAAATAAAAAATAAATAAATAAATAAATAAATTAATTAATTAAAATTAAAAAATAGAAACTAAAAACTTTAGCTGCATGACTGTGTTGTACTGTAAATTAATGTACAATATGTGTTTCCCACTTAGACATTCTTGGATAGGAAAACTACTAGTAACATGTTATGAAATAACAAAATGTTAAACTTTTACACAGATGGAGAAGTGGGTTATGGTGTTTAAGGCACTAATAAAACCATTTGAAAGTCTTTGAAAACATAATCGTCCATACAGATTTACCTCAGACAGGGTCAGTTTGGACCTTTTTGTTGGACTTGGAGGTGTGCCGTCACCACAAGGCACAGAAGAGCACATTTGGTTGGTGGTGTCCTGTCAACAGGATTGAACTGAGCGTCTGCATATGTGGGACATGAATGACAGCTCACCGCACCATTGGCCTGACAAATGCTTGCACTGACTGTTTGACTGAACTTAATCAGTTATAACACAATAAGTTTATCAATGTGGGTGTGAGAAAAATCCTTTTGATTAAAACAACTTCACTATCATTTCTTTTTAAGGATCATGTGCCTAATTTTGTCTATGAAAACCAAGGCATAGTATTACATTTGTTAAAGTAAAGTAGGTAAGTAAGGAAGACTCATTTGAAAATAATACACTCACCTCTTGGCTCCTCACTACTGAGTTTTTGCTATCCACTTTTTCAATTGTACATTTTTACTTACCTGATTCTCTGCTCTCCAGTGATCCCCGCTGTGTCCAGCCTTATACCCACCTGGTCCTGCTCTCCTCCAGTCTGCATCCAGCCTTTTGTAAAATAAACTCTCCTTTTCATTTTTGTATTTGGTCTGCTGTCCATTTTTTTTGGGTCCCTCCATTGTTGTGCCATAACAGAACAATCTGGCCAAATGGACCCATCAGACCAGGACCAAGACCCAGTTCTTCAGGCTCTGGCCACACAGGGGGTCAGAGTGGGTCACCATGAGCAGATTTTGAAGCAAGTGAAGACTCTGTGAGTTATCTGTTAATGTTACTCAACTTACCACTCAAATGAATCAGCTTGCTGCTCAGATCTCAACTGTGCTACAATCACCACCTGCTGGTCAACCTCAAGCAACTGCTCCTCCTCCAGTTCAACCTCCAGTCCAGCCTCCCACCTCTGCTGCTACTGTGAACCCCACATTCCTACTCCAGAGAGCTACTCTGGTCATCTTGGGTCCTGTGGCCATTTCCTCCTCCAGTTCTCCCTGGTGTTCCCGACACCTACTGCACAGAAGCCTCGCATTGCTTTTCTACTTACTGTATTTTACGGGCTATTAGGTGCTCTGGATTATAAGACGCACTGTTATTAAATGGTCTGTTTTCTAGCTTTTTTCACAAATAAACCGCACTGGACTTTTTAAACACAACAGTTCGATGGGTCAGTGGGACTTTGTTTGGCGCGTTCACGGTGACTCTGGGCTTTGTTCACTTGTAGCCCGTTGGGAGAGTGCTGTCTGGGACCGCTGGATCGGTTGCAATGACTCAGTTGTTCAGTTCAGTAGTTGCTCAGTGTGGCACATTGGACTCGCTTTTTCGATTCGTTCCTTCGTTCCGTTCCTCGTCGGCGTGGAGTGATGAGTGTGGCTGCAGGTGTGTTTCGCTGCACGGTCGCTGTCTACTTATCTTCTGAGCTAGGCGTCTACTCTCACTCAGCCAAGGCTCATCATCTGTTCCTCAATATGCCATAGAGTTTCGTATTCTAGCTGCTGAGAGTGGTTAGGACGACACTGCTTTACAAGGTGTTTTTACGAGGGGGTTGAGTGATAAAGTTAAGAATGAAATGGCCGCACATGTGATGAGACTAGTACACTTGAGGAACTTATTTCCCTGGCCACTCGTCTAGACAAAAGACTTAGAGAAAGACAAAGAGAGAAAGCACGACAGTCCTCACCTCCTACACTCACCCTGCCTCAGTTTACTTCCTCTTTCTCCAATGCTCCAACTTACAGTCCCCCTGTGCATTCCAGTCCACCTGAGTCCTCTACTGGAGAGGAGCCTATGCAGCTGGGTCGGGCTCGATTAACACCTGCTGAACGCCAGCGCCACCAGAGGTCTGGACTGTGCATTTACTGCGAATAAGCTGGTCACTACATCAACTCCTGCCCCCAGCGACCAAAAGAGATGGTTTACCAGTAAATGGAGAGATTCTAGTGAGCCAAAGTACTCCTCTCCCGGCTTCCACTCCACAAAGACTGCAGCTCCAATCCACTCTTTGCTGGTCATGTAAATCTACTTTAACCTTGTTTCTCAAGCTAATATCCCTTTGGATCCCACTAAACCCCCCGGGGACGTTAATGCTTTGAACGGAGAGAGGTGGGCCAGGATCACACACCAAACTGTTAAGCTAACACTAGTTTTGTCTGGAAACCACAGGGAAGTTCTGCAGTTTTTAGTGATTTCTTCTCCTCATGCCCTTATAGTTTTGGGACTTCCCTGGTTAAAGTTACACAATCCTCATATTGACCGGGCTGAGAACAACATTGCCAGCTGGAATATGTTCTGTCACTTTAACTGTCTCCGCTCAGCCATAACCCCCAGCAAACTAGTCTCTCCCTCTCCTCCCAGTCTTCCAGATCTGTCTGTCGTACCCTCTGAATATCACAATCTGGATGAAGTGTTAGTCACACAGAAAGCACTTTCTCTACCTCCACACCGTCCCTATGACAGCGCAATTTATCTGCTCCCTGGTGCCCCCTTTCCATCTAGTTGCTCATATAAACTTTCTGGTCCAGAGAGGGAGGCTATGGAGGCTTATATAAAGGATTCTTCAGCTGCGCGGCTGATACGTCCCTCTTTGTCACCTGTAGGAGCAGGGTTTTTCTTCGTGGGGAAAAAGGACAAGACCTTGAGGCCCTGTATAGACTATAGAAGGTTAAATGACATAACTGTTAAAAATGAGTACCCTCTTCCACTCATTGATTCAGCCTTTGAATCCCTACATCAAGCCACCATTTTTACTAAATTGGACTTAAGAAATGCCCATCACCTTGTTCGCATTTGAAAAGGTGATGAGTGGAACACCGTATTCAGTACCAGACTTGGACATTTTGTGTACCTGGTGATGCCATTTGGTCTAACTAACGCAGCAGCAGTTTTCCAAGCTCTCGTTAATGATGCCGGGATATTTTGAATAAATTTGTTTTCGTCTATTTGGATGACATTCTCATTTTTTCCAAGAATTTTAAGGAACAAGTCCAGCATGTCAGGCTCGTTCTGCAACAACTCCTAGAGAACAGGCTCTTTGTGAAAGCGAAGAAGTGACTTTCATGCAGCATCTGTTAACTTTCTGGGCTTTGTTATTCAACAGGGACAAATCAAGGCTGATTCTGAAAAAGTAAAAGCTGTGGCAGAGTGGCCGAAACAGGAAACGAGGAAACAACTGCAGCGTTTCTGGGGTTTGCTAACTTTGACAGGAGATTTATCAAGGACTACAGCAGAAAGGCAGCCCCACTGACTCGCCTCACCTCCACCTCACTCCTTTTAAATGGTCTAGTGAGGCGGAAGGTGCCTTCACAACTCTGAAAACTCTGTTCACCTCAGCTCCTGTCTTAACTCACCCTGCTGTCCATTTTTGGGTCACTCCATTGTTGTGCTATTAACACATTTGAGCAAATGGAGAGGGAATAAGCCCCTCTTTTCTTGTTTTATTAATGAGTTCAAATGTTACTCTAGCTCTCTGATCTCAGTCAAAAATAGGAAAACTAGAACAACCTCCACCATGTTTTGAAAGAATGCACCAGATGCTTTTGTAATATATGTATATGGTATTTTCATGTAATTGTCTAGGCCCCATTAGTGTTTTATAGTGTTTGTGTTCAATTAACAATGATTTTTAAAAAAGCAGAGCCACTTCTTTACATCTCATTGCTTGGCTTCACCACTTCGGCAGGGCTTTTTCTTTGCCTGCCCTGCCTCTTTGGCAAAGTCTTATGGCTTTTTCTGACAGGTTCACTGGGATCCTGTGAGGGCACTCGGCCAACGCAAGCGCAGTCCCTGGGGAAGCTCATGTTATAGCTCATAAAATCAAACATTAAATTCAACAAGGAAAATGGCATTACAATGACCAGACCTTGCAGCAGAATAAAATCATCTGTGGACTCCATCAATACATTCTCTCTTTTCCAAAACAGCACACTTTTTCCAGAGCACACACATTTTATTCTGGCTCATACCTGATCTGTGTGTCACTCACTCTCACTTCTACACATTCTCCATCTGGCGCTCGCTGAGTGTATAGAAAATGGAGGGACTTGCAGCAGACTGCCTCGAGCTGATTGAGCTCGATCCACCTGCGCCGCCATGTTTGTTTTGCTCGGTGTAGACCTGGAGCTTGGAGTTGTCATCATGTTGTCTGAAACTCCTCCCCCTGCCACAGAAGCCCTGTGATTGGGCCGAGCACTGCACCGGTCAATTTTAAATCGTACAGTGAGAGCATCTCAAGATGGATTCTCGGGAGTTTGTGAACTCACAAATATCCTGAGAATCCATCTTTTTGCACAAGGTGACACACATGTAAAAGAAACACAAACATTAAACAGAAATCACAATATGCACCCAAAATGTATTATGGAATTTGTCACCAAATCCAGTCACTGTTAATTTGCAACAAGATACAGCCTACATTTATTTGCACTGCTTATTTGTATTACTAACTTTTTTTGTATTTCTTTTTTTTCCAGCACTTACTTTTGACGAATACCTCTGTGAACGGGACTCTGTCGTCATCAACTCTAACCCCTTCGTGTGCTTCAGTCCCGACCCCAAACCAGAATACAACGACCAGCTCATCCGTGCCACCAACATTGTGTGTTCCATCGTTCGTTATGTGAAAACACTGAGAGCAGGAGTACTAGAACCTGAAGTCTTCCACATGAACCCTGCTAAAAGTGACACAGACCAATTCAAAAAGTTCATCCGTTGGGTTCCCTCCTCGCTGTCCTGCTATGCAGCCTACCTGGTCAACGCATATCCTTTGGACATGTCCCAGTATTTACAGCTTTTCAATTCTACCAGATTGCCAAAACAAGGAAGAGACGAGCTGTTTATGGATGAGAAGGGAAGGCATCTTTTAGTGATGCGAAAAGGCAATTTGTACACGTTTGATATTGTCGATCGCGGTGGAAATTTGGTGAATCCGGCAGAGATTCACTCTCATTTGAAGTACATTTTGTCAGATGAAACCCCAGCAGCTTCCAGTCCGATTGGTGTCTTAACAAGTGAGAATAGAGACGTGTGGGCAGGTTTAAGGGAGAAGCTAATCGCCAGTGGCAACGGAGGACTTTTACAGACCGTGGACAGTGCATTGTTTTGCCTCTGTCTTGATGACCAAGTTATGAAGGACAATATTCACATGTGTCACACCATGCTTCATGGAGATGGGTGCAATTGCTGGTTTGACAAGTCCTTCAATATCATCATAACCAAAGACGGAAATGCAGGGATCAATTTTGAGCATTCAGGAAGAGATGGAGAGACAATAGTCACACTCATGACTAAAATCTTCAAAGATACAATGGAAAAACCCATTGTGAACCCTGGCTCTGCTCCTGCCGCTGTAGACTCGGCCTCCACTGTCCAAAGACTGCAGTTCAACTTAGATGGTGAATTGAAAAGCGATATTCAAAAAGCCAAGGAGAATTTTGATGCAGCAGTATCGAAATTGACCCTAAGTGATTTGATGTTTAAAAAGGGAGGTAAAGAGCAGTTGAAAAAGAGCAAGTTGAGTTCAGATTCTATCGCTCAATTGGCATTCCATATGGGGTTTTTGAGGCAGTATGGACAAACCGTAGTCAGCCTGGAGCCTTGTAGAACATCAGTCTTTAAACATGGGCGTCTAGAGATGATGAAAACGGGCAGCATTCACACCAAGCACTGCGCTCACGCTTTTGTCCATGAACCAGGGAAGCACAGTGTAGCGGAGCTGAGGGCCATGCTGAACGAGTGCTCCAAATACCACAAGCAGCTCATCAAAGAAGCAGCTATGGGTCAGTATTCCAAATGTTTGCTTGTTAGCAGATAAACCAAGTTTTTTAAATTTATTGTGGGCGCAACGTACAGAAAGATATTGATTTTACTGTACTCTTGGCAAGATAAATGCACTTGCAGTGGTTACGGAATAACTTATGACAGAAGCTACTAGCAAGGTGACCTTTTTTTTTGTCCACTGAGGCACATTGTTACTAAGACTCATGGGAAAACAAGTCATGATGCATTTTCAAGAGTGACGATAAGCAAAGTATCTATTAGAAAACCACTGTCTGGGGTAGTGTCATGCTCTTGTTCCCTGTGTCTTGGTGCAATATCACAGTGGCAGAAAGGAGTACAGTGATGGGGCTAAAAGTTAAAACTAAAACATGTTCCTTACTCAAAAATGAGGTACTGTAAGAGTAAGAAACAAAAGGTTCAGTGCACCTCCAGATTATACATGAGAAGCTAGTTTCCATTTATAGTCCCTGATAGATCTCTAAGAAAACTGTTTTTGTAGGTGAATCAAGAGTTTTTCATACATGCAGATTAATAGCATGCAGCAGAGTATGTGCAGTCTGCATTGCATGATTTTTTTAAAAAGTCAACCACAAGAGGTTGGTAAATGGTTTACAATGTACCAGGCTCAACATCGCATTACATCTAGAAAAACAAACATTACATTACATGTCTAATTCAAAAAACAGCACCAACAACAACAGCTAGGTTGTTATTCAGGCGCCAGTTGTTTTGACAGCAAGTTTTGACAGTGTTTTTAAGTTTGAGAAATATATTACTCATGAACACTAACCAGTAATATTCACCATGATCTGTAATACAAATTAAACCTTATTAATTATTAAAAGCCTTTTTAATAGAATTCTTGAAGCCCCGTCCTAGTTTTATATTATACTAATCCACTGATTCACCCGTTTTGATTATTAGTAGTGCATGTGTTATCAGCCTGCTAGTAAAATAGTACCTTGTTGTTATAATCTAATCATCAAAACGATACCCTAACCTTGTATTTTCTTCTTCCACCAGGCCAAGGTTTTTACTACCATCTCACTGCCATGCTGTACTTGGCCAAGTCAAAGGGGCAGCCTCTGCACAGCCTGTACACAGACCCAGCCTACATCTCCTTCAACCACAACACCCTTTGGACCAGCCATCTCAACAGTCCTGTTATAAGCTCTGGGGGGTTTGCTCCCGATGTCCCGGATGGATTTGGGGTGTACTACAGGTTTGGTGATGACTGGATCCAATTTAACACATCCTCATACTCAACTCGAAATGTGCATGAGTTTCAGCAATGTGTCTACAAGTCATTCGAGGACATTTTTACAGTTCTGGAAGGAAAGCCACTGAGTTAACTACTCCACAAGAGTTAGAATACTGTATAAAGTGGTCATTAAAATGAAACTATTTCAAGTGAATGGAAACTGAACATGCAGATGCACATTTTCACTTCAGAAGATTGTTTCTGTTCTGAAATAATTTCTTTGTGCATTTAGACTAGAGCGGTAAATTAATGGTTCAAAAAGTTCCTTACCCAAATTTCTGCATCTTTAAGTATTTAAAGCAGTGCCGTCTCATGTAAAATCATAATTACTTGTCAGCCTCACTGGTTTGTGTGAATAAAAAGACAGTTCTTTACAAGCAGATATGGTTTCCAGCATTTTATTTAAAATAAAAAATTATTCCACCAAAGGCAAATGTACAAATCAGATCTGAGAATGGGAAAATGGATAAAGGGTATAAAATGAGCTTGGCTTGTTTTTTTAAAGTGAAGTCCGATGAGAGAGAAAAGACCTTGCAGCAGAAAAAAATCATCTGCTTTCTCCATCAATACATTCTCTCTTTTCCAAAGTAACACACCCTTTCCACAGCACACACATGGTAAATGGTCACATTTTTCTATAGCGCTTTTCCACCTTCAAGGTGGTCAAACGCTTTACAACAAGGAACCACTCACCCATTCACACACACATTCACACACCAGTGTACACAGACACTGTGGGCAAGGTGAGCTAAGTGTCTTGCCCAAGGACACAACGGCAGCATTCATCTGTGGGAGCAGGAATCACACCAGCCAACCTGTGGGTCAGTGGATCTGACCACTCAACCTGTGATGTTTAAGTCGAGAGCTGGAATTGAACCACCAACCTTCAGATCATTGAGCTGCACATTCTCCATCTGGAACGGAGCTCGCTGAAAGAGTTTAGTTAAAAGGAGAGACTTGCAGCAGAATATCTCGAGCTGACTGAGTGAACCACCCCAAAGAACCACCCAGCAGGTTCTTTTGACATATGACGTATCCAACTTGCTCCAGGTAAAAACAAAACCAGTGTCACGCTGGAGAGGGAAGATATGGATAAACGAATGTAGCTGTATTTGCAATACAATTTGGCACATTAAGGGCGTTATAAGCCACCGTCACCGTCCCAGAAAAGGAGACATGAGATCCTGAGTGACAGAGACAAAGAGCAGTCAGCTGAAAGTTAAATGTCGACTGCGGTCAGATGTGAGCAGAGGCAAATAGTGGAGAATACCCTGGAGAAACACTGCCACGCTCGCTCTAGTGGCCCAAGACGGGACTGTAGGAATACAGTACAGTGGAGAGATGAGGGTGGTGATGCGCTCCAGGGTGTATCTTTGCAACAGGTACGAAGTTAATGAAGCAGTAACAAAATTGTTCAGCCGTCTCCTCCTCTGCAGAGGAACATACTGTAACTTTAATCTGTTTCCCACTAGCAATCCCCTGATTCTGTTATAATTTATTGTATTTAATTTCCTGCATCTTCTTTTGCTATGTAAAATGTATTTTGTTTCATGTATTACACATACAGTAGGGCGAGTACCAAGAGGAAGCGCTACACGGCGAAAGGCTGCGGTGGAACAATCTTCTCATTTATATTCTTCATTTTAGTATACATTAATAAACAGTAAACGTACGTCAGCTTTGAAATGATGTATATTTCACTTTAACAATTTATTCTGTCAACATACCACCGAACTATTAGAGAACATAAATGATATAGACACAAATAAACCAATATTTAGGATGATTTTAGGATAGAAATTAGACATAAATTGTTCTTTTATTTTGAAGGCGGCGTGAGTGGTGAATCCAGCCAATCAGCGCACACCGAACGCGGAAGGAAGCGGCGCCCATAGTTCAATGTTGCCAAATCGTGCAGAAAAACAGAAGTGCTTCCTTATCACTTACTCCACGTTTTTTCGTTTATCGTTGCGTCCGTTTTCTACATTCTCTTGGAAAAAAAATACTGGGATAAAGTAAAAGTAAGTTAAGAAAATCTATCGGTTATTTTTTCTGAAGCATGCTGTTGTTTACATCCTGTCTTTCACATGGTAAGGTACTCTAGCATCCTCATTTGGTGCTTTTTTAAGTCCTGATTTAGTCCCCAGTTCAGATCGTGTTTCTTATACTTAAAATTAATTATGTATTCATTTTAAAGACATTTCTGAGTAAAATAAACTGTCTGTAGGTCTAAATGTTTAAATAATGTTTTAGTTTTGTTCTTAATTGGCCTTTATCCAGATGGGCTATATGACAGTGGAGGAACATAGCCCCACCCTGCTGCATCTCAAGAGGGCCCCTGGGATACGCTCGTGGTCTCTTCTGGTTGGTAAGTGCACTATAGCCTATATACAGTCCACTGATTACATAATAACATTAATAACATTGGATAACATAACCATAATTTATCATAAAATGGAGAAAGTAGACTAGAGTAATTAAGGCTACAAAACAAGAAATGAATATATACTAGTGTTGTCGCGGTACAACTGAATTTCAAAATCAATTTTGTTATTAAGAAATAGACTCAATACTTAATACCAATTCCATAATAATAATAAAACACAATTTTTACTTCACTAGAATGGGATTTTCAGCATTTAATCATAATACTTACTTTAATCTTACCATATGTCCTTATATTTGTGTCCCTCAGTGGTCCAGGTAGTGCTCCATGGGAGTATTATAATTATTCTAAGTGACAATGGAAGAAGTTTACATGCATTAAACTACCACACCCTTACACACACATGCACACGCACATGCACACGCTCACACTCACACACACATACAAATACAAAAACATACTGAGCCACAACCATTAGAGCGTAGAACTTAAAGACATTATTGGTTACAGTTTTATGCTTTTTTTTAGTTCAATACATACAAGTCTGTGTGGTCTGTCTTGTGAATGTGACTTTTTTTTAGAATCAATACCTGCTCAAGTGAGAGAATCTAGTTTTGATACTAGTTTTCAATCAATTTTCTGATTTTCCATACTTGTATATATACAGTAACATTGTATAATAAAACTGTAGTGTTTTAGGCATGCTTACTATATATATGTAACAAAAATATCTGTACAAGACTGCAAAAGATAAGATTAAAAATCAAAGAAACTTGCAACATAATTTATCGTCTTTGGGACTGTTGGAGCCATGCGCCTTGTGTGTGCGTCAACAGTAGAGGGTGCTGTGGAGTAGGCTACATTAGGGAGGACCCCTCCTGTGTTCCACAGGTGTTGCAGTACGGTGAAGCACACAGTTTGTTGCACACCATGCTTGGTGTCTTTGTATGATTTTAAACTTTTTGAAATATTGATGAACTTTTAACTAATTATGTATAATTAAAAATATATATATTTTATTAAGATTCTTGCCTCCCTTGGATTTGTCTACTTAAGACGCCAGAGACAAGATTAGTGCACCTCTTACTTTCTCTGGATCTGCATGTCTCAGCAGTCTAAATGGGATCTAACCGCAACAGGGACAATCATTGTATTTTGGATAATCAGTAAAAGAAGTGGTCCCAATACTTCAGCTTAAACTACTGCGGCTTTAACTTAGCTTTTTAACACATTCTTGTAATTGTGTAAATGTATACTGATGTTTGATCTGTGTTGCTGTACTGAAAAAGAAATTATTCATCTTAATGGGACTTTGCTGTTTAAATAAAAGTTAAATAATAAAGTACATTTGTAAGTGTCATTGCAGTCAACCAAAATATATTCTTCTTTTCAGGCATATCATCTATTGGGTTAGCTGCGGCCTACTACAGTTCAGGTACGCCAGCTTTATTTGCATAATCGTTCAGTTATTTGCATGTAGAGTTATTCCGGACCTTTTCTGGATTTTCCTTATGCCTGACAGACAGTATCCTGTGGAGGCTGTTCTACATCAGCGGCTGTCTGTTTGTGGCGATGCAGAACATGGAGGAGTGGGAGGAGGCTGTGTTTGATAAGACCAAGAACCTGATCGAGCTCAAGACGTTCAGCTTGTATGCATATGTCCTCACACTGTGGAAGAAGGGACAAGAGAAAGGTAATCTGTAGTTTAACCCTTTATTGACCTGCAATAGAAGCAGCCTAAGAATTATATTTTTGCACGCTGTAGTGGCATTTTTAGGACTGTTAACTTATGTATAAAATCCTGGCTTGCACCTGAAATTCCATCAGTATTAAATATTATTATATATTATATCATTATTATATTAAATTAACTAAAATAAAGAAAAGCATGTCATATTTATAGCATATTTTTCACAAATGCTGAATTCTCTAGCCCTCAAAATTGTAAATGACAAAAAGTTTCAGATAAAAGTTATTTAAAGTTTCTATTTTTGAGAAACAGATGTTTTTTGTTTTTTTTTATTTATTCAAAAAAAGGGCCATCACCTTATCTCTATTGGGATTTAGTCATTTACAGGTGTTTTTACTGCTGAAAATATCTTGAAAATAATACATTCTTATTGTGAGAGAAGTTGCGTCTCCACTGATCTTGGCCTTGTAGAACCACCTGGTGGTCTCCATAGATATGGCTAAGTTAAATGCCATACTGTGCAACATTCAAGGCAAAGCAATAACATTTCCATGGAAATGTTATTCTGTAACAGTGCACTGATGTAACGGGTTGCAGACAGTTGTTAGGATAAATAAGTAGGCTTAGCTATTTTGTATAATTGCTTCTATAGTTCATTATTGTAGCGAGGTCATTTGAAGATCAGGGCTCTGATCACAGCTGTGAGACTCATAGATGTATGTCAAGACAAATGCAGGATATTCCAATCTATCGGGATGATGTAATGACTTGTTAGCCAGATAACACCCCGGATGGAGTCTGATTGGACTGTGCAACGTGCCAAGAGGCCTGGCTAGCCAACGAAGAGGCGCTAAGTCTAAACCACAGTAGCCTCCACTATAGTTTGTGTATAAAAGTCATTGTATAGGCGTAAACATTGATTCTCTGCATGGGAATGTCGACACAGACTCCTTGTACAAGTATGGCTTTGTAATAGTGGAATAAGTAAATTATCTGGACTTTATTTCTGTTTCAAGTGTATTTTTTGTCTAAGCAAAAACTAACACACTCAAGAGGAAAAGGCTGTTTTCCTCAACATTCTTCACCAAAAAGTTACAAAATGTGCCTTTAAATACAGGGTGTCCCAAAAAATGTTACATAATTTCAGAACAAGAATTTTGTCAATTCTTGTTGAAAAAAACTAAAATTTTCAGAGAATGTGTAGCAACAGGTCAAGATTTTATATATAATGATCTGACGCCAAACCGTCATTTAAGGAATCTGAGTTTCCAAACTTTTTCTTGTTATGGACTTCTTGGGGCTCCGCAAGAGTTTTTCACGAACTTGCTCGACCTTCTCTTCTGATGTTGATGATGGTACCTGATCCTTTAGCCCTGCATAAGCAGCCCTCCTCTTTGCATTTTTGGTACCAAATCCAAATTTCTTTGCTAGTTGGTGAAGTTTTTCAAAATTTTGCATTGAAGGCTGCACAGTCTTGAATGACTGTGTGTGGCAGATTCTAAAATGACAAATGACTTCTTTTTGGGAGTGAACAGCATAGCTGAACCTGAAAACAGAAAAAAAATAAAACATTCAATATAAATCTTGATCTGTTTCTATACATTCTGTGAAAATTTGAGGTTATTTCAACAAGAATTGCCAAAATTATTGGCCTGTGAAATGATGTCAGATTTTTTGGGACACCGTGTATATATGATTAAGGTGTTTTAATGTGTTTTTGGTTAATATCTCTGTAATTACTGGACCTATCAACATGAAACTAAAACATACCTGCAGTTGTGACATTTTCTTTGTCAACAAATTTTTTTATTTTAGATTTTCAGATGGAGAGCAAAAGGATGAATAACTAACATTTTTCTGCCTCCTCATCTCTCCACCTTCATCTCCTCCGCCTCCTTTTCCAGTGGTGTTGGACATGGCGCATTTGCGAGACGTCTGCGTCCAAGAGGAAAAGGTGCGCTACTTGGGCAAAGGCTACCTGCTAATGCTACGGCTAGCTACAGGCTTTTCCTACCCCCTCACCCAGAGCGCCATGCTTGGAGGACGCAGGTACAGCAACGCATCTGCACTACTCATTATGTAGCAGCTCAATTCACAGGGAAATAATTCAGTTTAGAATGAGCTGACAAAACAGAGCAAACATTCAGGTGAGTGGTCCCTTGATGTAAAGTGCTTTGAGGGCCTTGAAGCTGGAAAAGCCACCATATGTATCAAAGAATAGACTAATAGAGCTCCGGGAGATGACATCATGCACTAGGTGTCGCCATTTTGGCAGTAATCGGCAGATCGGCTGACTCGCGCTGTACGACTCCAGCGCAATAACAGAGTATTCTCCAGACGCAGCCGCTATTCATTTCCGAATTATTTTGCCACCAATAGCCAATACAGAGAATGTAACACACGTAGATCAGAGCAAGAACCAATGTGCGACCGTGTGGCTCCAGAGTGAGTCAGAATTGGTGGTGTGTACCTCTGTTCGGGACCTGCATGCACAGAGAGGTCCCGGTGTTCCCAGTGTTGACGTAGCAACCAGCATTTTTTATTTTAGACTTTTAATTAACCAAATAATTTTATGGCAATAGGCAAGAGTCTATTCAATTGATTCAGCTTCAAAAATGTCCTGCTTTTAACCTAGTATGAAAAATACAGTCGAACTAGAGTCCTGACCCAGCGGGAGCAGCTCCGGTTCAGGCCGTGCTCAGAGGAGCTGGAGCGGGGACTGGTGTCAGGAGCCTCGGCCTGAGAAGAACTTTCCCCAGGAAGAACCAAGAGCACGGATGCTCAGAACAACATATAACCAACCAAACTGGACTCACGCTTCTGTCCGGATGCTGCACCACCTTGGAACCACCTCGGTTCTTGAGTGCGGAAGACCGGAGCAGCCCGTCCGGACCTGTAGTCCACAGCGCATTCTTGCTTTCCCCACATGGAACCACTCAGACCCAGACCATCAAGCACTGGTTTTACTCGTCCCCGTCTGGAACCAGCACATGGAGAACGAAGCCTCCGGACCATCTGACCAACACGCTGCTGAGTTCTCCTCTTTAGTGCCGTTGCTGCTGCTGTTTATTTGTTAGTTTATTAATTTATTTGTACAGCACAATTCGTACATCAAGTAATTCAAAGTGCTTTACAGAATAAGAAATACATTAAAATCACAAAACAAACAAATCAAAACATGAATAATCATCATAAAATTAAAAAGAGAGAGAGACATTAAATGAGGGAGAAGAGTGCAGAATGAAAAATGAAAACCTTTCCGTCATACGCAGCTAAACAAAACTGTTTTGAGCCTGGATTTAAACAGAGTCAAAGTAGAGTCTGTCTCGACTTTGACATGTTTGGGGCGATCATTCCAGGTTTTAGCTGCATGAATCTGAAACGCTGACTCCCCCATGTTTAGCCCTGACTGGGGGCACCAGCAGGAGGAGTTTAGAGTATGAAGTTTAAAAACATGGCGGAGCACATCACACTACATCACAAGGCAGAGTGTTTTCAGTTTGAAAGAAGATCTTGATCTAAATATGCAGGGTTTGTGTTAAACATGTGTGAATGAAACAAAACAGAACTCCAGGTCTGTTTGTGATGAGGAAACAAAATAAGGCCAAGTAGCGCAAAATGGGGCCTTTAATGTGTGTTCACACCAGTGTCAAAAAACGCCCTAATAAGGGGTGTTCACACCAGAGCGTCAAAGCGTCCAGTTTATATGTAAAGTCTATGTGGACGCGCATCTAGGGCATCCGGCGTTTTAGCGGCACGTCTTTGGGCGTCAGCGTGGCGTGAATCTGACATCGACATCGTCAGCGTTAGAAGTTGAAAATGCTGAACTTTTCATGTCAGACGCGCTGCGTCAACCAATCAGGGACTAGATCTGCGTCTTTGACACCGTGGACGAATGGGAGAAAAATACTTGACGCCCGTCCGTTGCCCTGGAAACAAGTGCCCGGTCCTGGTCTTTTCCCGAAACGATGTCAGACCAGACTGAGAGAGACTTTAGTGTTTTTATTACATAAAATCATCAGCAGAGGAGATCAGGTCGACGACTGGGGCGTGTATATATTTATACTCCACTAATGACACTGGATCAGTCCTGGTTTAGTCCCGATCTAGTCCTGGTCTAGTGCTGGTTTACTCTTGGTCTAGTCCTTGTTTAGTCCTGGTTTAATCTCTGTCTACTCCTGGTCTAGTCCTTGTTTAGTCCTGGTCTAGTCCCGGTCTAGTCCGGGTTTTGTCTCAGTCTACTCCCAGTCTAGTCCTTGTTTAGTCCCGGTCTAGTCTTTGTTTAGTCCCAGTCTAGTCCTGGTTTAGTCCTGGTCCGGGTCTGGTGTAGTCCTCGCAATCCGCTCGGTGATTGTGGCGTATATATTTATGCTCCACTAATGTTTGTGGCTCTCGCTCTGGCTCTCGGGTCTTTCTCTTTCTTCCTGATAATAACGTCGCTATGTCTCTGAATACTTGTCCCTGATTGGTTGACGCGGCGCGTCTGATGCGAAAAATTCAGCATTTTCAACTTCTGACACTGAAGCCTTGGCTCCGTGTCTAGAGCGTCGACGCCAAAACTCTCAAGACGCGCCGTATCAATGCCAGATTTGCACCGCGCTAACGCCCGAAGATGCGCCACAAAAACGCCGGATGCCCCAGACGCACGACCACATAGACTTTACATAGAAAGTGGACGCTTTGATGCTCTGGTGTGAACACCCTTTTTAAACAGCTTCATGCTGAGTCCACTACTGGTAGCGTTTTTATGTAAGGCTCTTACTTACACATTATTACATTTTCACACTTTTGAAATCTATTAGTGTAGAGTATACCCCACTGGCTTCTTGTTATCACTTACTCACACATTTGCTTGCACCACATAAAAGTCAATACTGTTACTGTCTCTGTCCATCATCTGTTGTACTGATGTGGTTGTCCCTGTGTAATGGACAGGTAACCACTTCCTGTGCGTCTAATGACATGAGCGCATTTGGACACATAATGGAAGTAGACCAAAGTACATTACATTTGACAAATGTAGCTCATGGTCAGTGAGTGGGGTGATATATAGTGTACAACATTAGGCTACTACAAAATCAACTTGCTTTAAATGTGCTGGAAAATGCTCAGAATAACCACATTGAAGGCCCTGTACACAATTTTTGAACATGTATTTTAGCAAAATGTGTCTTGCCCCAGTACAGATATAATGTATAAACAGCTCTTGGGGTCAAAATAAGTCTGCTGTGTCCTGTCTTGTCTGCTGTGTCCTGCATCTAATTATGACACATTTTATTGCCAGTTAAAGGTCCTGTATTACACAAAATTGACTGTTGTGATCCTTAAGCTGAGTTGTAAGGGCTGTAGAGCTGTGCAAAAATATTGATATATCGTATCGTTTAATGTGATAATATAGTATCGACATCATGGACTGCTGTATTGCTTTATCGTTAAGAATATTTTTTGGTATATTTTACTAAATTATTTTGTTACAGCTACAGTTTATACTTTAATGAGCACCTTAATAATGTTCCGGGGCAACCATTTTGTTAGGAGCAGTGGAGCGCAGATATTTTAACTTTTCTACTTAGTATTTTAAAACTAATAATAAAACACTGCTAAGTTAAAGAAGATATATTTTTGAATTTAGATTTAATTGAATGTTTGTTGCACTTGTTTTTGATAGCGAACTTTTTAAATATTGAATGCAAATTGTTGAACGTACCTGCACTTCAAGATGAGCTCACCCAGTTAAAGGAGGTGGCCTATAAAGGAGCCAGCCTCACCTTTGTCTGAGGAAGGTGCTGTGTGTGGGCGCAGCTTTTGCCATACCTGTTTTTAACTTTGTAATTTTGTAAATTTTTTTTCCATTTTTTTTTGTCTTGGTCACGGAATAAATGCACTTGGGATCTGCACTACAAATCAGCTCAACTCGACTCTGTTCCTCTTATACCGCTAAGATTGCTATCCAGGTTATGACACATGCTTGAGTAAAATGGTATCATTAGTCTGTCTAAAAGCTCTGAAGCTCAAAATACTCTGTTCCACCTTATGATGTCATGTAGTGGTAGATTTCACCTTTTGTTTAGTTGTGATTGGAAATTCCAAGGCTGAAATTATCCAAATGATTCTTGTGAAGGTGTAATATGTAGGACAACATTATGACATAGGTCAGAAAACGGCATATATGAACCCTTGAACAGGAAGTGTGTGGTGGCATGCAAGTTGCTGTTCACTTTACCATGGCAAAACGTGTGCTGCCTCTGAGAGCTGTGAAAAACGCTCCAACTCAAAGCAGTGAGTTGAATGATTAGGATATTTAGAATGCATAAGGGAAGTGAGGAATAACTTTAGACCTCTGCAAACGGTTTAAAATGAACAAGGTCTGTTTTTCACGTTTGCAAGATAGGAAAAGTCAGGTACAGCGCCTTTTAAAATGTAGTTATTATGAATTTGATCCAGTTTTGTGATCATTTTTGTAACTTTACCATGGTTGTGTCTTGTGCCAGTGACGTGGAGGCAGTAGCAGCTTTACTGAAGAAGTTCATGGGCCTGGACGAGCTGCACAAGCGATCGCAACAAGAAGAGGAGGATTACGGAGCTGACGAGGAAGAGGAGAGCAGCGAATCAGAGCATGAACTTTGACCCCCGTCTGATGCCAATTTTGAACTTTCTGTTTAGGGCAACTAGGGACGCCAGTTTATCAAAAGGGTTATGAGGGGCGTATCAAATGAATCTTACTTAAAGAATCTTACTGCTAACCATAAGGAGGGTTCGAATAGGGCTTGGGAGAGATCACTAGATTACTCAAACATGCATAGATGACACCAAAAATGTCATGTTTTTGATGAAGGAACAAAGTTATAACATGGTAGAAATCTCCAAAAACCAATGCACAATACCCCCTCTTTAACATATAACATAACAATTCTACTAGTATGCTTTTGTATCTATGTTGCACCCCATTTCTGTACAAATTGTGCCATCTGCTTGTCTCCCTAAAATGTCCCACTGTATGGCATTAAACCTATCTGTCTCCATGGGGACAAGCAGGTGACCCCTCCAAGGGAAGTTAAGGGTAACATCTGTGAAGGCTTGACTCCACACACAGTAGAAAGGCTTGTTTTTCCAAGGCATTTTAGAGCAATCTCACGCTCCATTCTCTGTATCAGACCGTTGTGATGGAGAGGGTCATGGTCATGAGCTCTGGGTAATGGCCAAAAGGATGAGGTCTTAGATAGAAGCGGCCGAAATGAGTTTCCTCCGCAGGGTGGCTGGGCGCTCCCTTAGAGATAGGGTGAGGAGCTGAGTCACATGGGAGGAGCTCAGAGTAGAGCCACTGCTTCTCCCTGTGGAGAGGAGCTGAGGTGGCTTGGGCAGCTGCTCCAGACGCCTCCTGCGCTGCCCTCGGCATGTCCCACCGGAAGAAAGCCACAGGGAAGACCCAGGACACGCTGGAGGGACTATGTCTCTGGGCTGGAATGGGAAAGCCTTGGGTTCCTCCCGGAGGAGCTGGAGGAAGTGTCCGGGATGAAGGAAGACTGGGTGTCCCTGCTTAGGCTACCGCCCCTGCGACCCGGCCCCGGATAAGTGGAAGAAAATGGATGGATGGAGTTTAGAACAATAAAAATGTAACCTGTAATTGAATACATAAATAATGCGTAATACGTAAATAAGTTTAATGCTATACTGTGGGACATTCATGGTAAAGCAGTAACATCTCCATGGAGACAAGCAGGTTATGACCTTCTATAAGAACAGTAATATGGTGCAACCTTTTTGTCAGATCCTGTTACAAGTGTCTTTGGCTCTGGAGCAGAGTCGATACTCTATACTGATTCCAAAACCACAATAATATAAAAAACTCTCCTTATTTACACAATAGAATGTACTGTACTATAATACTCTATATAAATGATGAAACATTAGATGCAATACTGACATCCCTGTGTGCTACTTATTTGTGTTGTTACATTGAAATATATCGGTTATATCTGGGAACATTGTGTGAATCAAACCTATACTACCATTTTACAAACTTTGCAAAATAGCGGTGCCTTCCTACTGACCTATAATACGTGTTTATATCATTCAAAGCTGTAATGATAATAATAATCACCGTTTGAACATTTCCTAAACAGTTGAACGCAAACTATAATTAAGCGCCAAGGATTTGGGGCCAAACATGAAATACCTCAAATTGTTGTTTTCGTTGTATTCTAAAACCAAAGATTGAGATTTTAGGAGAAAATGTGGGAATCATGATTTATTGTTTGTGTGTCCATAAAAAGGTTTTTAATTATGCTTGGATGATATATTTTTCCTCACAGAAAAAGAAGTAAATATTTTAAATTCGTGGTCCAGTGTCCAGTGTGTTGTTTTAGAAAATGAAGTGTCAAAAGTCAGTAAGTAGGGCTGTAAAATTTATTGAAATCAAATTGAAATCTGAATAGACACAACATATATCATCATAAAGACTGCATTTAAAAAAAAATCTAAATCATTTCCTACACAAACAACTATATCTCCTCTCTTATTCGGCATAAAAATAGCTAACCCTGTGAACATGCTCTGAACTGTGACTCTTCTATTAGTTATTATTAGTCCATTCAGATTTCCGTCTTTTTGTCAGTTCTTCTGGATGTGTTTCAAATGTGAACTTTGAACAGAAGCTTATCATTAAAACATACATTTCAAATCTAATTGCAATTAGACAATTTTCAAAATGGTTCAGACCCAGTCCAAAGTTACAGTTGTGCCGTATCATCCAGCATTGCATGTGTAAAAACAGCTCTCTTGGGTAACACTTTATAATAACTTATTTAGCCTTAATAAAGCATGAACAAAGGCTTAATTAATAATGAACAAAGGCTTAATTAATAATGATTCACGCTTAGTAACTACTTAATTATTAACCTTAATTAGCACTTAACTTGCACTTAATTCACCTGTGCTGTAAATAGTTACTAGGGGTGTGCAAAAATATCAAAATATCGATATATCATATCGTTTAATGTGCTCATACAGTATCGCTATTGTGGGCTGCTGTATCGAGGTATATTTTAGGTATATTTTCACTAAATTAGTTTGTGTAAGAGCTACAGTTGTGTTGACATTTTCACTGTTTTGAGTAAAATGGATGTTTTTCACATTCACTTTTCACAAACTTAGTGGACTTTTAGTATTAAAGCCATCATTTAGCCTTTTTTACACTGTACCGTATCGAATTGATGTGAAATATATTGTATCGAATTGTATTGAATCGAAAGCTCACTGTATAGAAAAGCGTATCGTATCGTGGCCTATGTATCGAGATATATATCGTATCGGTAACTTCTTAATGATACCCAGCCCTAATAGTTACTCATAATTATTTCTTACTTAATTACTCATGAACTAACCATTTGTGTGTGCATTTGTAAATACATATTTAAGTACAAATTTGAGCATTTATTAATGATTAGTAAGCTATAAGAAAATGATTTACTAATAATGCAATGCAATGATAATTCAGACAGCTATTATCTGTTAAGTCTTTTTAAGAGCTTTTCTAAAGTGAAGACTAATTTCACTTTATTAAGCATTTGGTAAGGTTGGTCAAATTCCAGAGAAACAACAATCAAAATTTCAGATTATTTAGGCATGTGATAAAGATTAACAAATGTCTAAGTAACACCATTAATTCATGATTAGTTCAACCAGTAGTTAATACTTTTTTGTAAACTTTTGGCTTTGAAATCTACCTTTGAATAATTTACACATAATATTCCAGAAATCTGTAGGTATTAGACTATACACACAGCCTATAATATCAGATTAGCAATATTCACTTCACAGTACAATTTTACTGAGATACTGTGGGGGATTTTTACAGAAAATTAACATGATTCATACATAATTAATAAACATTCAAAGTGGTCAAATTTTCACATTTTGATTTTACTGATAACACTGATTCTTCATTACAAAAAAAATGGACTCACTGCCTAAACCCCAGCTCTTCAGCCAATCATGAGTCAGTGCTAGTGCAGCCTCTGCAGCTCAGGGAGGGAATCCTGGAGGTTCTGAGCATGAAGCTTGACCCGTCCATATAGAGAGAATGAGACAAACTCTGGCTTTGTTGTTGTGGCGCAAACATCACATACAACTCTCAGACTGTCTTTAGCATGTGTGTCCTGGCAGCATGTCCCTCAGACAGGCCGTGGTCTCCTCCAGGACCTTCTGCAGTGGAGCTTGGACAGGCCACACATGCTCCTCCTCCCACTCCTGCACTGTGGAGTCTGGGTACAGAGCGCTCATCTCACCTCTGAGGACCTGCAGCTTCTGCTGCAGCACTAACAGATACCTGTGGAATACAGACAACATGGAGTTAGTTTATGTGATGACTGTTGGCTGGGCTTAAGGTGACATCACAACATTTAATAGGCCAATGCTGCTTATGTTCTAATGAGCTCTAGGGTCTAGTCACTGATAGAAATGGCCAGGTTCAACATGAACGTGAATTTACCTTTTGGATATTTCATGACCAAATACTAATGTAACCCTTAGGAAAAAGTGAATCTTGCCCCCATCTAGGAGGATGACATCATCACATTCGAGAATCTGAAAACCACCAGTTTGCTAGAGGTCGGATTTGTGTGGTCAGACTGGACCCAATAATAAACCAAAGGGATTTTAATATTTAACTCAACCTCATTCAAAAACTAAACTGTGACAGATGTTTGTACCAGTAGTGACCGCAGACTGTATAAAGAAGTTGACTAAGGGAGTATGACGTCACCCATAACATTCAACTCCAGTCAAATGAAGTTCAAGAGGCCAGAGGTTATGCTTCAAATTTGGAGCCAAGTTTCATATTAAGAATAAGAATTGATTAACAGACAAAAGTGTGAAATAAAAACACCAAGTTCATGTTAATTCAAAAATTTTAAGACCAAAATGACGAGGCTCACTGCAGCAGTTACAAAGAGAGTGTCCACAATATTTTAAATTTAAATTTAAGTCAAGTGAAGTCGATGGAGCCAAACATGACCCCCTGCTCACTTCCTATGTGGAATTAGTCAGCTCTGTCCATTGATATATACTGTCTATGGCAGTGTTAATGGAGAGCTCTGTATATTGTGCAAAAAATCTTACGTTGAGGCTTGGTTTTGGATCTGCATTATGATCAGAGGGTTGGCCATCTTCTTTTGTTTTTGGTGAGGACTAAACCAGCCCCTTAGAAACCTGTAGAGGCCATGCAAAGAACAAAAACAAGACAAAGACAAAAAAAATTCTGACAAATGGAATACCACTTAATTATTGCAATATCATTAATTTTGCATGTTATGTTATTTTTTGGGCAAATGTTTATTGAGATCCCAATAAACCAACAAATAAATTGCCTATTTCTGGACACATACGCTATCAAATTGATTTTTAACTTAAAAGGTGCATTATTTCACTTTTCTGATGTGATTTACACTATTATCTGTAATTCCAAATGGATAATTTCACATCGTGAACTTTGAAGGCTTTAAAAATCTAAGTACACACAATAAATCCCCATGGCAACGGAGTGGTTGTCTCCTTTTAGGGCTTTAGAGGAAACACAAGGAAAGAGTCATTTCATCACCAACTGAAACACCAGAGCGGAGTAAGACTGAGACGTTTCCTGTTGTGTTCACTTGGCGCCCCCTGCAGGCTGCTGATGCTGCAGCAAGACACAGAGGAGGGACACTTTTGTTTCTTCCACAGTATCTGCTGACCCTCCCTGACCAGCCCTCCTGTTAAACTGCACTCAGACCTTTGACTGAGATACAAACGCCACTGAGCAAAACTTGAATTTCCCTCAGGACAAATAAAGCATCTCTCTCTCTCTGTCTCTTTCTCTCTAAACGTTGAATTAAAAACAATAAAAAATCACACCAAAAGAACTTACATGTTGTGCTCAAAATATCTAACTTCTTCAGAATTTAGAAATGAATTTAGGTCAACAATTATCTCAGCCAGAAATCTCCCCGGAAACATGGTGGTGTTTTGGGAAATTCTGTAATACAAAAATTATACTCAAGCATTACAAACTGCAATAGTCATTATTAAATTTGCTACAACAATAGATTTCAGTGGTACCTTTCCATCGCCTCCACCTCCACAGATGAAATCCCCAGTTTTGCGGTGATCTTGTTTTGAGTTTTAGCATCAAACTGTCCATCCGCGAGGGTCTGGAGACAAGAGGCTAAAGAGGGCAGAGCGACTGGTAACAGCTCGCACAGCACAGACAGGTGGTCATATCTGAAACATACACAAGAGGGCGCCATGTAAAGCTTTACGCTGGAGTTTTAAAATCCCTTTGGACACATGAGCATTGGTATTTTGTGATTTGAAACTTAAAGGAACTGTATGTCAGATTTGAATTTGAAAGGGCCCTCTGGAATTGCCAATCTCTACAAAACCAAAGGTAAAACTACTGCTTCATGACATCATAAGGTGGCACAGAGCATTTTGAGTGTCAAGTCAAAAAGCTAGCCCCTCTGCTCCGAGTCTTCACCTCCACTCCTGAGCCCTCTCTCCTCTCACCTCTCCTCTCTCCTCTTCCTCTTCTCCTCTCCTCTCCTCCCCTCCCCTTTTTTATTAGTTGATGAGGTTATTTTGAGTGTGGCCAGTAGGTGGCAGCAGGAAAAACAGGTGAGCAGGTGTGTCTCTGAAATCATTTAACAAAAGGAACTGAACAATTTCAATACAAAAATCTTCAAGCTGAGTTGAGCCTTGTGTCTGTTTTTCCTGTTTTTTTTCAAGTTGGACCTGCATTCCGTAATTAAAGACTTGACACTGAGCTTTGGAGATGTAGACAGACTAATAGTAAAGTGTTACTCAAACATTAATGAATGAAACAAAACAAAACTCCAGGTCTGTTTTTGATGACGCAACAGCATTGTAACATGGTTTAAAGCTCACAAGAATCCATTTTGTGTAATATAGGGTCTTCTTTATTCCATAAGCATGACCCATCTCTATTCCCAGATCTGAGTTTAAATGAAATCAAGTTGGTTTAAAGCTAAAATGCCTCTCTCTGAGCTGAATGATCTCTACCTAAACCCCAGCATGTGGGTCGAAAGGTGGGGGAAAAGCCCAGTGCCATTTTTTTTGGTCCTAATCTGCCCCTGAGCGAGGGAATTCTGGAGGTTCTGAGCTTTCACATGAAACATGGCCGGTCCGTATACTGAGAATGAGGCACACTTGGCGACAAAGGGTCAGTTGGGACTGTAGTATCCTTTTTATAAGACACAGTTCCTTTTAAATGAATGTTAAGTGTATGCTGAGAAAGTTCAGACCGGGGAGAAACGGGGGCTTTTTTTTGTTGTTTTGTATTTGTTGTGGGTGCTGTTTTATGTTTTTGTCTTTTGTTTTGTGCTGATTATTGTAATTGTTAAATGTTGATTGTTGTATTTTTTAAATGTTATATCCTGTCGTCCTTAAAAAAAAATCAGAACAAGTCCTAGTGTTTAAGATATAAAATTGTTTTATTAAGAATTCTTCATGTATTGAGTGGGATTTGGAAGATTTTTTGCATTTTTTTGTCAAAACAATCAGAAAAAGTCAGATAACGGTCAGATTTTTGGCGTGTGAGTAAACACTGACAGTGCGTATAGCTGTGATGGTGAGTACCTTTGCCAGCCGGTGAGAGCGATGCCCCTCACGTGTACCCCAGCAGACACAGACTGTGCCACCCTGAGCCACTGCAGAGTGTTGTCCACATGTCTTTGAGACGAGGGCACACAGCAGTGCACACTGGTACAGCCTTTGAAAGCACTGGCTGCCCACACGTCCACCATGCCCGCCCCGCTATACTTCTCCAAAAGGGACACTTTAAGAAGACGAACACTTTTCAAAATGATTGTACCTGTGGAATAGTAGTGTATACACAGTTCGTACCTGTTTTGTTCACATCCAGATCAGGATTGTAGTCCCACAACATTGGCTGGACCAGTCCGACCAGACCACTGTCTGTAGAGGGGAAAAAGTAATGAACTGCTATGACTCAACAGATCACAATATTTTTTTTCTGTTACTACATTAATGAAATATAATTAAATATATCTTGCACAAAATGTCACACAATTATAGAGATATACATTCTTGTCTTTCCTGGTGGAAGTACACCACCTGTTTGCCCCCCATGAAGATATTATTACTTTGCCTGAAATGTTCCATATTGTGGCATTAAACTTCGTGCACTCTGTTTGTCTTCATGAAGATGGCTAACAGCTCAGATCTGTGGTGAGGCGACTATGCTGACATGCTTTTCAAGAATGAAGCCGGATATGGCCCGGGGGCCAGATCCGGCTCTCCAAAACATTTGATGTGGCCCTCGGCTGATTTTCTACTAAAATACTTTAATTATATTTTCTATTAAATTATTATATTGGTAATTTTCTGTGGCGCTTAGTATAGCAGTGTCTCCAGCACCTGTGCGTGGCCCCTCTCACCAGAGCAGCACAAATGAAGACTTGCCTCTTTCCAAACGCTCTTAAAGGACGACCGTTGTGACGCCAAGTGCAGGATTTTCTAAATAAAATTGACTTATTCCTGTTTGCATACAAGTTCATGTTAAAACATTGTGTTGAAATTGCATTTTTCTTAAAGTTTCAGGTTGTTCATAATATTATAATATTTTGTAAAGAAAGAGTTCATCAATTAAAGATTTCTGTAATAGATTTGTGTTTCTCTGCACAAATATTTGAACTTATTGTTATTTTTGGGGGTTTATATGACATGAGTTTTCTGATCCGGCCTCTTTGGGATCAGAGTAGTTGGATACGACCCCCGGACCAAAATGAGTTTGACACCCCTGACCTAAATAATAAAATAAATGCTAAATAAATCTCTTTAATCTTTATGGTCTTTAATCTCATAGTTTGGAGGGTTCCAGACAATGTCAAATGAAAGAGAAAATGCACATCAAAGTTCTTGTGGAGGTGCAAATGCAAGGAACAGCAAAGTAAAAGTGAAAAAATGCACAGCACATTCAGATGGCTGATGTCCAAAAGCTTTTAAAAAAAATTTAAATAACATTTTGGCAAAAAAGCCTTTGTCAGATCTTTTTTTTTTTTTTTTTGCTTTGGACCTCAGTATACGTGGTGGTCCAACGCAAAGAAAAATGATCTGATGAAAATCTTCACCAGAAAAGTTACATCTTTACAGTAAATATAAATCCAATAAAGTGCTTTGAGTATTTTCCTTAAGTTAACCAACCCCTGAGCGTGTCCTGGCTCATGTCCCTCATCATGTCGTCCCACATGAGGACGGTGAGGTGTGGCCACATTGTCTTCACAGCCCGGGCCACAGCGGTCACATGACTGAGGAAGAGCTGCTCCACGCTGCGACCAGGTGACCCCAGCCACCTCCTGGACTCCTCCCCCTCACCCAGCAAGTACACCTGCAACACATGGGGCCGTGGTACACATTGATTAATACAGTTTGTTCTCATTTAGTTGAACTTAAAATACACTTGTGGGCTTTGTGATTAAGATAAAGTTCTGCCCTAGTACAGGTATATTGTTAAAGCAGCTAGGGTCACTCAAAATAAGACTGCTGTGTGTTATCTGCATCTGTTTAGAAAGTGTTTTTATCCTCCACAAACCTGGAAGTAATTCTGATGCGCTGTGACTCGCATGCTGGTCTCAAAAAGTGGTGAAAAGCACTTATAAACTCATCATGTGAATAATGACAATGCTCAGAATGAATAAGGGAAGTGAAGAATAACGTTGGACCTCTGCACATCGTTTAAAATGAACTGGTTCTGTTTTTAAAACGGTAAAAATCAGGTAGAGAGATTTAATATCGGTTTCAGCAAATGTTGTTCAGATCTTCAACAGCAGCAAGAGAAATATCGGACTTTGTATTAGCTCAAAATAAAATCCATCTCTTATAGGCGTGTGCAAAAATATTAAAATATCAATATATTGTATCATTTAATGTGATGATACAGTATTGATATTATGGGCTGCTGTATTGATATATCGCCAAAAGTATTTTTTTTGCTATATTTTACTTGTTACAGAGTTACAGTTTTGTGGTTTGGTCAGAGGAGGGAAACTCGTTTTTGAAACACATTTCACATTTTCACTGTTGTAATGATTAAAATGTTTGTGTTTCATATTAATTATTACTTTTTACTTTGCACAAGAAGTGGTTTCACAAAAACTTTTAGTATCACATCCATGATTTAGCCTTTATTTTTTAATGAGTCATATCAAATCGATTTGAAATATATCATATTGAATTGTATTGAATCAAAAGCTCACTAGGAGTATGTAAAAATATAGAAATATTCATATATCGTATCGTTTAATGTGATGAAACAGTATCGATATCAATAGCTGCTGTATCGATATATATTGGCAAGAGTATTTTTTGGTATATTTTACTAAATTATTTTGTTACAGCTACAGTTTTGTTGTTTGTTCAGAGGAAGGAAACTCGTTTACATGACACATTTGACATTTTCACAGTTTTGAGGCTTAAAATGTTTGTGTTTCATATGAACTTTGCACAAGAACTAGTTTCACAAAGACTTTTAGTCTCACAGCCATCATTTAGCCTTTGTTTTTTATTGAGCCCTATCAAATCACTTTAAAATATATCGTATTAAATCGTATTGAATCAAAACCTCACTAGGGGTGTGCAGAAATATTTAAATATCAATATATAATATTGTTTAATGTAATAATACAGTATCGATATCGTGGGCTGCTGTATCGATTTATATTGGCAAGAGCATTTTTTGGTATATTTTACTCATTTATTTTGTTACAGCTACAGTTTTGTTGCTTGTTTAGTGGAGGGAAACTTGTTTTTGCAACACATTTGACATTTTCACAGTTTTGATGATTAAAATGTTTGTTTCATATGAACTTTGCACAAGAAGTGGTTTAACAAAGACTTTTAGTATCACAGCCATGATTTAGCCTTTATTTTTTATTGAGCCGTAACAGTTTAATTTAAAATACATCGTATTAAATCGTATTGAAAACCTCAGTAAGGGTGTGCAGAAATATTTACATAAAATAATTTTGTTCCAGCGCTACAGTTTTGTTGCTTGTTAAGAGGAAGGAAACTTCTTCACACAGCAAATCTGAAATTTTCACTGTTTTGATGATTAAAATGTTTGTGTTTCATATGAACTTTGCACAAGTGGTTTAACAAAGACTTTTAGTATCACAGGCATGATTTAGCCTTTATTTTTATTGAACCGCATTGAATTGATATGAAATATATTTTATCGAATCAAAAGCTCACTGTATCGAGATCATATACCCAGCCCTAGAGCTCACTGTATGTATCGTATCGTGGCCAGTGTACAGAGGTATGTATTTTATCGGCAACTTCTTAATGATACCCAGCCCTAATCCCTTATAATAATGGTCTGATATTGTTCTGTAGTCTAGCTTTAACTTGGTTGCTCCTTACCTCATCTGCTCCTATGTGCAGAGTGGTGAGTTCTGGGTGTAGCTCTATGACCTGTCTGAGCATGTGCATGACAAGCTGCAGAGGCCGGTCTCCGTGTGGACTCAAAGTGCCCGGGCAGTGGTCCACCTCTCTCATGTGCCGGAGACAATCATGCTTCAGGACAAACTAAAACACACAAGTGCAGTATATATGTAGCTTTTTTCACAATACATTAGAAGGCGTAGAATGATCTCTCTGTATTTTTATCCAGAGATATCAGTCTGGTCCAATTCACTTTATACTGAAAAAACTGCGACCTTTTCTCTAAAACTGTTGCTGCCAGGCTTGTCATTTTGGTCTTAAAATGCTCATAGTAACCTATTCTACTTGTTTCTGTTGTTTTTATTTCAATATTTTGTTCGTAAATCAAGATATGAATATATAACATGACATATTTGGACATATTTGGCGCCATCAGACATGAATTAATGAATGAATTTTATTTCTCACAAACATGAATAATACAGAACATGATGAACTATAATGTTTAACAAGTCACAATGAGTTTTCTTTTTTTTTCTTAAGGCTGTCAGATTTTTGAACAGTGCACACTGACTTCCTGCTTAGGCTGCCACTCTATCTTGCCCACACGTTTTACTTTTGCTTGTCTACTGGAACTGCTAAATGCTCTTAAGCAATATTAAAAAGCACATTATTTTTGTTCTTTATCTTGTAATCACTGGGCTTCGATGAACAAATTTTGTTCTGTCACATGTTGACTCATACTTGAATAACAAATAAAAAACCTTGACCCTTGAAATCAGGCACCTTCTTTCTTTTCACAGCAGGTTTATGGTGGCCGAATCTGGACACCATCTACTCATCACGTCTCCGCACATGGGCCTCCAACATTTTGCAGGACCCCACACATCCTGGGAACTGCCTCTTCTGTATTCTCCCCTCGGGAAAGCTTCAAACTCCCCTCGCACACACAAACAGGCTGCGCAACAGCTTCTACCCACGAGCAGTGGACGAGCTCCAGTAGCACAGGCACCGATAAAAGGCCTGAAGGGACTCAATGCAATAATTTATTTATTTATTTAATGATTTTATTGGTATGGATGTGAGAATATGTCTATATTTATTCATTTTTACTGCTACAGATTTGCTCTATCAAAGTTTCATTGTATTTTGTATAATGACAATAAATATAAATCTAATCTAAATCTAAATCTTATGGACATGTGTCAAACTGTCTACGTCACGATGCAGAGTCTGCATTGTCTCTAACCCCCTCCACAGAGTGTCTGCATCGACTGACGTGTCCCCCTGAAATTTTGTAACTATGCGTTGTACTGACGCAGACAGCAAGGGAAAGCGACTCAGATAATAAGGGCTGTGATTGGTCCTCTCTAACCACCGCTCTACATACATTTCTGGTACTCCACTTTCCTGCTTCATTTTGTATATACAAACGGCATTTTCAAATCCTAGCCACCTAGCACTGTGGCAGTGAATTACTTTGAGGTGCATAGACCACAACGCAGATCTATAAATCAAAAACGACAGCGACACGGCAATGGCTACAGTGTGTGTTGAGTTGACGCAGAACTATAATTCAGCCTTAAGCGCCCACTCTTCCACTAAACCAGCAGTGTGGATGGGAAGAGGTGTTACCAACAGCCTCGCTCCGGATTGGCTCTTCTTAATATGGAACAGCTCCAGATTTGCTTCCATAACTGCAGTCTGAATGAGCTTCATTTGACTGGAACTGAATGCTGTGGGTGACGTCAGACTCACTTAGTCCACTTTGTTATACAGTCTATGATCTCGAGCCAGACATCAGATTTGTTTATTTCAGTGACACAAATGAAGGAGCTCTTAGGTTACCTATCATTTTCAAACAAAATTATATCTCTCTAACCTCACATAAATAGAGTTTAGTGATTTGTTCATTTTTTTCTGCAGAAATGTTTTTCAGTCCCTTGTGATATTTTTTCCTTTATTTTTATATTTGTTTTGCTACAAACCATGACCATGTGATTGGCTCATCCACCTGTCAATCACCCATGTGAACTCTGAGAGATTCATCAGTGACCAAACCCACATCTTCGTAAAGTATTGGAGAAGTGTGTATTCTCGATCCCAGGCAAGTACGTGAAAAATAAATGCGCACCTCCATGTGTCCAAAGGTCTGGATGAGTGGGATGACCTCCAGGCCGTTAGCTTTGGCAGTCTTCTGGATGGACATCACCTCCTCTTTACTGTCACCACAACACAAATAAATACTTGAGTGAATAAAATATTAAATGATACTTTGTGTTTGAAAATGAAACCCAAAAACAACATACAGTTGACAGGTGTGAGAAAAAAAGAAGTGCATCTAATAATAAAATAATAATAACGTCTTACACTTCACTCCTTACTCTACACCTGTATGTGCCCACCTGTACACAGACTGTATCCACCTGTACACAGACTGTACTCATCTGTATACAGACTGTATCCACCTGTACACAGACTGTACTCACCTGTATACAGACTGTATCCACCTGTACACAGACTGTACCCACCTGTACACAGACTGTATCCTGTACCAGTACACAGTGTGCCCACTGTATGCAGACTATACCCACCTGTACACAGACTGTGCCCACCTGTACACAGACTGTGCCCACCTGTACACAGACTGTACCCACCTGTATGGGCTCACTTGTATACAGACTGTGCCCACCTGTACACAGACTGTAGCCCACCTGTATGGGCTCACTTGTATACAGACTGTGCCCACCTGTACACAGACTGTGCCCACCTGTACACAGACTGTGCCCACCTGTATGGGCTCACTTGTATACAGATTGTGCCCACCTGTATGGGCTCACTTGTATACAGACTGTACCCACCTGTATCCAGACTGTACTCACCTGTACACAGACTGTACCCACCTGTACACAGACTGTACCCACCTGTACGCAGACTGTACCCACCTGTATACAGACTATATCCACCTGTACACAGACTGTACTCACCTGTATACAGAGTGTATCCACCTGTATACAGACTGTACCCACCTGTATACAGACTGTGCCCACCAGTACACAGTGTGCCAAGCTGTATACAGACTGTACCCACCTGTATACAGACTGTGCCCATCTGTATGTGTCCCCCTGTATACAGACTCTGCGCAGCTGTATACAGACTCTGCGCAGCTGTATACAGACTGTGCCCACCTGTATGTGCCCACCTGTACACAGACTGTATCCACCTGTATACAGACTGTGCCCACCTGTACAGAGTGTACCCACCTGTATACAGACTGTACCCACCTGTACACAGACTGTGCCCATCTGTATGTGCACCCCTGTATACAGACTCTGCGCAGCTGTATACAGACTGTGCCCACCGGTATGAGCTCACTTGTATATAGACTGTACCCACCTGTATACAGACTGTGCCCACCTGTACACAGACTGTGCCTACCAGTACACAGTGTGCCCAGCTGTATGCAGACTATACCCACCTGTACACAGACTGTGCCCACCTGTACACAGACTGTGCCCACCTGTACACAGACTGTACCCACCTGTATGGGCTCACTGTATACAGACTGTGCCCACCTGTACACAGACTGTACCCACCTGTATGGGCTCACTTGTATACAGACTGTGCCCACCTGTACACAGACTGTACCCTGTACCAGACTGTACCTGTATGGGCTCACTTGTATACAGACTGTGCCCACCTGTACACAGACTGTACCCACCTGTATGGGCTCACTGTATACAGACTGTACCCACCTGTACAAAGACTGTGCCCACCTATATGGGCTCACTTGTATACAGACTGTACCCACCTGTATCCAGACTGTACCCACCTGTACACAAATTGTACCCACCTGTATGCAGACTGTGCGGTGGCTTGCAGCACCTTCAGCTCTCCCTCATAAGGAAACATGTCTTCGTACTCCACCAGAAGCCCATTTGCTCCCAGCTTTGCAAACAGCTCGATTAACTAAACCAAAATAAATACATAGTTTAGGTTCACATGGAGGAAAAGAGCTTGCTGAAATGTTGGATAGCTGCTAGATTTTCACTTCTAACATTATTTATTCTTACTTTGATTAGTAGAATGAATATACAATAAGAATGCACAAGAAATCTAAATTTAATATGCAAACTGTGTTGGCACAGAGATTATTATTGTTATGTGAATTTTATATAAGATAAAGCTAACTTATGATTTTGTAAACGTAAAATAAAAATTGCGAGATGTGTGGTTGTAGTGTACATGTGTAATGTGGTGTGAGTGGACATGTATTTGTAGTGGACATGTAGTTGTATGTATTTATTCCTGCAAATCATGGACTGCAGATTGAAATTGTTTATCTGTAACCTGGTGCGGAACAACTCAAATGTTTTTATTATCTTAACATCTCTGTACTTTGTCCCTTAAGACTAAAGTAATAAATCAGTCATTTTTATACAGGCCTATTCCTGTAATGCAACATTTTGAGGTCTGTTTCCTATTCCATTTGTTTTAAATAGTTAATCGCTATATAAACGGTCCTAATTCAAAAACACTATCCAGTTTAACAAGCTGACAGTTAAGTTGATCAATAGTTAAAGTTAGGGTGACAAGAATTTCAAAATAAAAAACTGGAATATCCCAATTTTTTTGGTGGTTCGTAATGATAAAATTGTGAAACGAGTGTGTAATTACAGAAAATTGTTCTTCAGAGACCATTCATGGCGAGCATGTGAGCCAGTATAGTCACATTTTCTTTGTGTTTTGGTAATTTTTAAGCAGCTTTTCTATATTTTATGACAATTTAAGCCTCTCTTTACTGTTGGCAGGAATCAAATTGGTCAAAAATAGGAACACCAGGGGCATTTCTTGAATAAAACAGGGACAAATCACTGGTTTTGGATGAATCTGCTGGGACAGGGGAGACAGGACTCAAAACTGGGACTGTCTCGGGTAAATAGGGACGTCTGGTCACCTTAGAAAGTAAAAGTATAATCTATGGCGAGGCAAGTTGTCTTGAGTTTTGTAATCAGGTTGTAACTAAATGATCATTCTTCACAGAAAGTAAAAAGAATAACATACTGTATCAATATGACGATCGAATGCAAAACAGAACATGCATTTCCCTTTTTTATATATATATATATATTAGTGACGCAGCAACAACAATTTTGTTCTTATTACCTTGAGAAGATAATCTATTCTTGGAGGTGCACCTTTTAGATCTAAGTGCACTAATTTCTTTCCTGTAATCCACGGTGGAGACATTCTACAAGGTGACAAATTGTACTTGGAAATTTAAGATAAAACTAAGAAATATAGCCCCAATATAGCTAAGATCGCGTTAACAACTCTTCTGTAGCTTTCACGTGTCAATTTATAAACCAGATTTGATTCTCGGCTAAATCCGTATGCCCTGCGTCGTTAAAAACTGCAAAAATAACTCGCCAAAGGGGCATCTGCTCTTTGTTTACATGCACTTCTGGTTGAACTCCACTGCGCTCTGACGCGGACCAATCGGAATACCGCTTTCCCTTCGGCTCCACCAATCAGGAGAGCGGACGCGGGTCTACCAGGAAGTGCGTGCTCACAGGTGGCGATGGCGCTTTGAATGATGTGAAAAGTGACAACTGGAGACTTTGGCGTATGGCGTGGCTTTTATGCGCTTTGTAACAGAGATCTACAGCCACGATGGCCCAAGTGCGGATGAGAAACGCAAAAGGGGCGAATGCGAGTGAAATCGAGAAGAAAATTAAGCGGTGAGTGGGGTTTTATGATGAAATATGCTACGCAACACGCTGAATGGCAATAATAAGGGGAAAAGGACATGACTCCATTTTCTTTTAGAACACTTTATTGATTCATTTGTCCTTGAATGACGTAGATGACAGTCCCAGTTTTGGGCCCTGTGTCCCCTGTCCCATCAGATATATACAAAACCAGTGTTGTCCCAGTTTTATACAAGAATTGTCCCAGGTGTCCCTATTTTATCCAATCTAAACCAGGACTATTTCAGGGTAAAACAGGTCTAAACCAATTCTAAACCAGGACTAAACTAGGGCTTAAATAGAACTGTATAAGGTCTATTTCAGGGCTATTTCAGGTCTAAACCAGGATTAAACTAGGGTTTAAATACAACTATATCAGGTCTATTTCAGCTCTAAACCAGGTCAAACCAGGACTAAACCATGACTATATCAGGTCTAAACTAGGTTTAAACCAGGTCTAAACCAGGTCGAAACCAGGTCTAAACCAGGACTAAACCAGAACTATTTCAGGTCTAAACCAAGTCTAAACTAAGATTAAACCAGGACTAAATTAGGTCTATTTCAGGTCTAAACCAGGACTAAACTTGGGCTAAACCAGGTTTATTTCAGTTCTAAACCAGGACTAAACTAGGTCTATTTCATGTCTAAACCAGGTCTAAACTAGGACTAAACCAGGACTAAACTAGGTCTATTTCAGGTCTAAACCAGGACTAAACCAAGTCTAAACCAGGTCTAAACCAGGTCCAAACCAGGACTAAACCAGGTCTAAACCAGGACTAAACTAGGTCTATTTCAGGTCTAAACTAGGACTAAACTAGGTCTATTTCAGGTCTAAACCAGAACTAAACTTGGGCTAAACCAGGGCTATTTCAGGTCTAAACCAGGTCTCAACCAGAGGAGCATAAATTGCATCTGTTTAGCCAAAATTCAGAAGACTGTGCTTGTGTTTTTTGTCTCAGATTTTACACTGACCCATACGTGAGTTTAGAATGGACAATGCTACACGCTTTTGTCACAACTGTATAATCTGACATTTTGGAGCTTTTCAAATAGGGCTGAAACTGAAATCAAATCGACATTGCTATGGACAGAATTGGCAAATTACAAAGGCTGCAATTTTTAATAGTGCCATGATTTCTTTATTCTGCATAAAAAGCTGCTAATCCTGTAGTTTTGATCTCCACACACATGTTCTGAAATGTGAGTCTTGTGTTAGTTTGTTCAGATTTCTGTGTTTTTGTCAATTCTTTTGGAGGTGAATTTTAAACTGAATCCAAATATTAAAGCATAAACCACAATGCTTGTCAGAAAAATTACAATTACAGATTCTCAACTCTCTCAAATCTCAACTCTGTCCACAGCGGTAATGCCCTGAGACAGAGCTCTGCATGGCACAGCTCCAGACTGCTCCTGGCCCTGCTGCTGGTGACTGTGTGTGCGTGTGGCGCCTCCCTGTGGCTGTACCTGTCCTCTGCAGACGCTGATATCACAGAGACGCTGGTGAGACAGGGAGAGCTGGTGTCCCCTCAGCCCAGAGTCTACCCTGTGCCCTGCTCTGAGGACTACGACCAGCACAAACGCTTCCCAGGTGAGTGAGGGTTACTGACTCTACTGTTTTGACATCTAATCATGGTTGCAATTAGGGCTGGGTATCATTAAGAAGTTGCTGATATGATGCATATCTCGAAACACAGGCTGCGATACGATACATATCTCGATACAGTGCACTTTCGATTCAATACGATATGTTTCAAGTCGATTTGGTACAGGTCAGTAAAAAATAAAGCCTAAATCATGGCTGTGATACTAAAAGTCTTTGTTAAATCACTTTTTGTACAAAGTTCATATGAAACACAAACATTTTAATTATTAAAACAGTGAAAATGTCAGATGTGTCGCATAAATGAGTTTCCTTCCTCTGCTCAAGCAACAAAATTGTAGCTGTAACAAAATAAATTAGTGAAATATACCAATAAATACTCTTGGCAATATATTGATACTTCAGCTCACGATATCAATACTGTATCATCACATTAAGCGATACAATATATCGATATTTCAGTAATTTTGCACACCCCTAGTTGCAACAGAATGTAACAATATTCAAATCTAACAGTATAATGGCAGAGGTAGGTAATAGTCAGTTACATTTACCTGACTAACTTTTTAAAGAATATGTTCTCAAGATGTTTAATCCCTCAGTTGTCCTGGTAGAATCCGTGGCAACTCCATCCTGAGACCTGAGTCAAAACAAAGAAAACAATACATACCCGGGTCAGGCTCAGAGGTGTGAAAGCACCCATCAGAGGCCTGAATGATTTTGCTGATATGATGTAGGCACAGTCCTCATTTAGTGCAGTTCAAGAGACCTAGGTAACAGACAGAAACTGTAAGCAAGTAGATGAGTTAGTTTCAGAGTAGTTTCAGTGTGCCGTATTTTCTGCACTGTTAGGCGCTCTGGATTATCATGTCAAACTTTTTTCACAAATAAACCTCACTGGACATTAAACGAAACACAACAGTTGGATGGGTCAGTGGGACTTTGTTTGTGGCGTTCACTGTGACTCTGGGATTTGTTCAGTTGTGGCGTGTAGGGAGGGTGGTGCTGTCTGGGACCAACGGATTGTCGAAGTGTTCGCAGTGACTCAGTTGTTCCGTCGCGTCTAGAAGTGGCACATTGCACCCGCTTTTTCGGTTTGTTCCTCCATTCCATTCCTCGTCGGCGTGGAGTGATGAGTGTGACTGTGGGTGTGTTTCACTGCGCGGTCGCTGTCTGCTCCGTGTGTGTTTGCGTGCCCTGCGGGTGGTGCGGCTTTGTAGTTTACTGAAGTTGTGCTGGGACACGTGAGTGGATTGGTGTATAGGGCGCTCTGGATTGCGGGGCATGCAGTCGTTTTTTTGGTGGGTTTGGAGGCTATAGGAGGCCCTATAGCCCGGAAAATACAGTAGTTAACTCCTCCTTCAGGCAGATATAAGGAAGTGTCCATCAGCGTCTGACCAGAAGTGAAGAAGTAGCTTGGATGAGGTGTGAAACCTGTTCGATCAAAAACTTTTGTGTAGTTGACAGAATTGAATTTCTCCCTTGCTTTTAAAATAGTACTTTTCTACTACTTTGTAGAGATACTTTGTCTTTCTCATAGTTGATGTATTTATTTTGCTTAATGGTGTATTGTTCAATATACATTTTTATTAAAGGTCTTCTTGTAAGCTTTAGGGCATGTTATAATGTAACAGCATTATCAAAAACATACCTGGAGTTGTGTTTTGTTCCATTCTTTGAGTAACCCTTTATTTTTATTGTCTGTCTACATCTTCAAAGCTCAAAATGCTCTCTTCCTCCTTGTGATGTCATTTAATGGTAGATTTCAAGTTAACAGCTACTTTTTATTGTTTGTTCAGTAAAGACAGGATGAAATTAACCAAAGGCCATTAGGAAAAACTGTGCCTGAATATGCAGAGTTTGTGTGTTAAAACATGTGTGAGTGAAACAAAACACAACTCCTGCTTTGTTTGTGATGAGGAAACTACACAGATCAGAAAACTTCCTAATATACATCCTTTAATAATATTTTTTCCTTATGTCCCTTATACAATAGCCATAAAGCAGGAGACTCCCACTAAGCCTTTTTAAATGAACAGTATCATAATAAACATGAGCTGCATAAAATCAATAGCAGAATTAAGTTATCATCGATCATTATTTCACCCTCAAATGTTAATGAACTGCAATTAAGTTTCCTGCTAACACAAGCAAAACTTACACACAATATTGAGCTCCACCAAAAATGATGCCAGTGGTTATTTATTGAAAACGATGAAGTTCATATAGTAATTCCCATGAGGCGTCTGTGTAGAATCTTACCATTTTCTGATATATACTTAGTAATATCCAGTAGATGGCAGTGTTGCTCAGAGTAATACACCAGACTGGAGCTGTCCCATTCTTATATTCTAAAGGGAACGTATGTAGCCTGCCACTAAACATGTGTTGCCAGAACTAGGACTGGGTATCATTAAGGAGTTGCCGATACGATACATACTTTGATACACAGGCCACGATACGATACATATCTCGATACAGTACACTTTTGATTCGATATGATATATTTCAAATCGATTCGATACGGTTCAATAAAAAATAAAGGCTAAATCGTGGCTGTGATACTAAAAGTGTTTGTTAAACCACTTCTTGTGCAAAGTTCATATGAAACACAAACATTTGAATCCTCAAAACAATAAAAATGTCAAATGTGTCGCATAAATGAGCTTCCTTTCGCTCTACAAGCAACAAAACTGTAGCACTGTAACAAAATAATTTAGTAAAACACACCTAAAAATACTCTTGGTGAAATATCAATACAGTAGCCCACGATATCGATACTGTATCATCACATTAAACGATATGATATATCGATATTCTGATATTTTTGCACACCCCTAGCCAGAACCTTAACCTGCAGATAGAGGACACATCCAAGTTTGTCTCATTCTCAGTTTAGGGACAGAACATTCTTCGTGTGAAAACTCAGAACTTCCAGAATTCCCTCCCTGAGCTGCAGAGGCTGCACTAGCATTGACTCATGGTTGATGCAGGTGCTGGGGTTTAGGGAGTGACATTTCAGATCAGAGAGAGACATTTTAGGTTTAAACCAACTGGATTTCAGCACTGAAACTAACAACCTAAATGAGAGACTCGTGTGATGCTCATTCTGCTTTCTGATTTGGGATCAGTGTTGGGAGTAATGTGATAAAAGTCACAAAATAGTGTAATGCATTGCTTTTTGCTGTAACGCAGTAATGTTGCGACATTACAGAGGGAAAAAAATTCTAATATTTTACTTGTTACAAATGTCAGTAATGCGTGTTACAATGCTTTTTAACCTGGATTGAAGTGGTGGGTTTTTATTCATACAAATGCTAAAATCACAGGAATCAGGTTTAATCTTGATTCAGTCAATATACGGCACAAAAGTTCAGCATCTTCGCAGTTATTTTTGTGAGAGTAAATTCTACACAGACACTCCCGTACCACTGTCACTTCACTCTACTGCGCATGTCTCCTGCAGAAAGAGCATCTGGTGAAAAGTGGAGGATTCTCTAACTGCAGTGAAGAAAACAAAAAAGCTAATCGCAGGTTAAAAGCTAGATTTAGCTAGAGTTGGTAAGTTGCTCAGAAGTGACACCGAGGATGAAGAATTGAATGGATTTAGTGATTTGGAGTGAGATGGAGAGTTTAGTAAACTTGTTCTGTTCTGTTGTTTATGTTATATTTATCTGAAGAACTGTTCATATGTGATGTTAACAGTCTGTTGTTCTCTCTTCTATTGTTATTACTAGAACTTGACTTTCAAGATGACTTATAGTCTGATGCGACTTATATACTGTATGTTTTTCTTATGCATTTTTTGGCTGGTGCGACTTATAATCCGGAAAATACAGTAGTAGTTTTCCTTTGTACTATGTACCGTATTTTCCGGGCTATTAGGCGCTCTGGATTATAAGGCGTACTGTCATAGAATGGTCTATTTTCGAACTTTTTTCACGAATAAACCACACCGGACTTTAAACGAAAGACAGCAGTTGGATGGGTGAGTGTGACTTTGTTTGGTGCGTTCATGGTGACTCTGGGCTTTGTTCAGTTGTGGCGTGTAGGGAGGGTGCTGTCTGGGGCCGCTGGATTGTCAGCGTGTTCGCAGTGACTCAGTTGTTCAGTTGTGTCTAGAAGTGGCACATTGCACTCGCTTTTTCGGTTCGTTCCTCCGTTCCCTTCCTTGTCAGTGTGGAGTGATGAGTGTGTCTGTGGGTGTTTTTCACTGTGCGGTCGCTGTCTGCTCCGTGTGTGTTTGCGTGCGCTGCGGGTGGTGCGGCTTTGTAGTTTACTGAAGTCGTGCTGGGACACCCGAGTGGATTCGTGTATAGGGCACTCTGGATTGTGGGGTGCACATTCGTTTGCTGAATGGGGTTGGAGGCTTAAGAGCGCGCCCTATAGCCTGGAAAATATGGTAATTATTCTGGTGAGGAGCTGCCACCTGCTTGTCTCCATGGAGATGTATTACATTGCCTGAAGTTATCCACAGTATGACATTAAACCAATACTAGTATGTCCGTGGAGACAGATTATACCCCGAGTTACTGGTCAGATCTGTGTAAAAATGATTCATTTTAGAAATAAAGCACCTGTAATTGAGTAAATGCAAATAGATAAGTGACACGTGGGTGAGCTCATCGTCTACACCTAGTGCACCTTTAAGTGATCGTGTAATTGCGGTTTAGTCTTTAAATGTCACCAAATGCTAATATAGTTCTGACAAATGCATAACTGATTTGAGTGAAATGTATTGAGAGGACAATTTAAAAAACGCTGGACTTCTGTGACATCTCATTACTTACATTCTATCACGGCAGCAGACAAAACCCCAAGGCTGCTGCTGACTGAAAGGCTTCTGTCCAAACACATGTCTGAGCTTAGATCTATACCAGAGCATGTACCACGGGAAATAAACACTAAATCGCACGACGTCTTCTGAAATAATAAAAGTAATCACCGCAGATGCACAGAGACGCTTCATTTCCTGTCTGAGCCTGGAG